GTCTTTAAATAAGATGGTTTGGGTACAATACTGAGTAACATTTAGTTTAAAACAAGAATAATATCAAATGTAGGTGAGAGTCTTTGATATATATATTCTTGGAAAGGAATTTGGGAAATAAAACAGAGGGAAGTGTAAATTATATCTTGCTACATATACAACATGTGTAGCGTGAACATGTCACTTGACTATGTCAAACTGAGCATCTTTCTTTTTCCGGGCTGGAACATGAAACTTCCTAACGTGTTTTGATGTATTCAGATATTGTTCAGAGCATTCAGATATTATGCAGGGTGTTCAGGTTAGGTTTCTTTCATTGTTACTTTAACATTTAGCAATCAAGTTCTTGAATTTTTGAAGAATGAGGATAGAAACTATTACAGCAAGATGTTTCAGATGGTACAAAATATTCATGTGTTAGAAGACACATAATTTGTAAGAGTTTAAGTATAATGATGGCACGTATCGGTTGCAGATCAGCATGTGTTGAAGTCCTTTGGTCTCAGAGACAGCCCTGGATACACTGAGTACTTGGACATGGAGGAAGCTTTTAATGTGTGCTTAAGTCTGCAGATGCTCAGCAGTTTTTTCTGCCCTTTATATTTGTCTGGAATATGAATTTAACAATGAGATACTGGGAATAAAAAATTTGGCAAATGTAGAAGGCTATGTGTGTTGCTCAGTTGCAGCTTGGGTCACTCTTGAGAGCCAAGGTAAACATGATGCACGATGCTAATCTGGCAGGCAGCTCTGATTGCTGCACTAGGGCATTAGAGGGCAGTGGGAGTGCTACACTGGAGCTGGGCTGTGAAAAGCATTTTCTAAGGAATGGCAACTGTATAAATAATACTGAATAAGGGCAGTATGAAAATGCCAAGGAAAGAGTGCTGTTACAATATTTAAAAACTTTGTTTTCTTGCTTGCCTTCTGTTTCTTATTATGTTGTCAAATTACAGTTTTAATTTCCAAATGTGAGATGGAAAGACAAAGAAATGTAGAGCAGGTGGGTGTTACAGCCTTACTTGAAGGAGCTGTTGTAGTGAGACAGACCTAGGGAAGAGCAACCTACACCCCTGGCTTCATCTTGCAGAGCTGCTTGCACTTCTTCTGAATAATACATCAACTAATATGTAACACTCTTCCAAAAAGGTCAGTCTTTGAATTAGATGAGTATGACACTGATATTGCCTCAGTAGTCATGGAGGCCTGCAGATCTCCTCTGAATGTCTTGTGCTTTTCTTTGTACTGAAGGTAATTCTCTTGAGTCTTGAGGTTCACCAGCTCTTGCCTGTGAAGAGCATACCTTTCAAATGGCATGCAAGAAGATCTGAACAGCTTTGTCTTCCTGCGGTGTGTCAGTTACAGATCAGAGCTGACCGATCAGCCGTTCTTTTAAAATCTGGCCTTTTTAGGCTTCTTTATTTTAGGGAGCCACATGCAGTATTTCCTCTGACTTGTTCTTGGTGTGTATGCATGAAGTGCTAGAAACTGCAGTAAGTAAATCAAACCACAGTTCTTAAACTGACAGTACTCTGGTATGGTGGAACAAAAGAATAAATGTAAGATGACTCATTCCAGAAACCGCCCTTCCTGTCTCCAGAAAGAAACCTCAGACTTGCTCAGTATAGTTTTGAATATAAAAATTAAATGCATAAGCTTTTTGTTCTGGTGTTTACCTGTCACAAGATATAATACTGCCCATTGTGTGTGGTGATGTGGAATCTCCTGACTTTGCATTATGAGGTAGCCAAGACGTTTTAGAGTCAGCTATTGTTGTACAAACATGCGAACCATTATTTTTGATTTTAATTTAGTTATTCTTATCACACCAATAACAGGAGCTGTGTTGTCTGGCAGAGTAAAGCTTTGTGCACTTATTTTATTCAGAAATAGTTCAACCTGAAAATAAACTCTTTGGAGTTAAAACTCAGACTCTGTTCTGTATTTTAAAGCCTGATGAAAGTGCCAGGTAGTTTAACACCAACCTAGGAAATGAAGCCTTTAGAAAAGGCAAACAACCGGGATTGCAGTCAGCTAAGCAGAAGCTTAGCAGACCTCATATCTGGGTCTGTCTTTGGTCCCTTAATTAATAGTACCTCCCCATAATTTTTTGGGAGGTATCTATCTCTACTGACAGCAGGACTAATGATAGTTTCAAAACTGATAATGTACAGGTTATCTCACGTTACCAGTTTCTTTAGGGCCTGACCTTTTGTGTCTTCAGCTTTGCAGCTAGTTTCTCTAGCCTGTTTCAGGCATCATACTTGGCATATTTATTTTGGCACTGCTTTGCAAGAGGACTTCCCTCTCTAAATTAGGGGGAAAGCTGTTCGAGCTTTCCTCAAATTTTGCTTATTAATGTCAAGTCTGGTCTGACTTTACAGGATTCAACCAACTCCAGAGTTCAGGTATATAGAAATACTACGTTTAGTCAGCAGAGGGAGAAATCTTACCTTCAGGAGGACTGCATTTGAGTGGAACATTTAGTTTAAAAAAATAAAATAAATGCCACTTGAATTGACCAATTCTGGGTCAGCTTGTTCTCAGCTGGGAACAGCTCCACTGTGTATGACTTAGTATCTTTGTGGAACTCGGTATAAATATATGCAATATTTATAAATATACCTATGTAGAAATAAGTGTAAAAATAGATAAGTCTGCATAACATGCTTTAAGAACCCTTTTTGATAATCTGTCATGTCAGCAAGACAGCACAAGGCATTCCCAGGCAGTGGAACACGAGTGGATCCTTGCCCTTTCTGGAGTGAACTTTACATGTGTAAAGATCAAGTCTTTTGAGAGATGAGGCAGCCAGAGGGGCTTCTGTATCTGGACAACTGTTTGCTCAAACAGTTAATTTTAGCTTAAATTTTAGAATCCATTCCTCAGTATGGAAGAACAACATAGACTGGCTATTTCACAAAACTGTATAGAGCTTCAGTACTCAGTAACTGATAAAGTTTGCTTTAAGTGCTAGATTTGTCTAAGGCTTGTTGAAATGTCTGATTCCAACAACTGTAATACATGACCATGGCCTTTTTTCCATTTGATTAATTAAAACCTTGCATGAAGGCAGTTTGAAGAAAATGGATTTTATTTAAGCCAAGGCTATTTAATTACAACACTGACAGTATGTCAGCATCTGTGTTAATGTTGCCTTTATAATGAAGGCCTTTGGTAATAAATCATCACACAGTTATCTTGTGTGTAATGCTGGAGCTGGGAGTGACTTGAGGCAGTGCTTTCTCTGAATCTCAAGGTCTTTCTGAAATGGTCACTCCTGATCATCTTACTCTTATATTACACAGTCAAAGAGCAAAAGCTACATTCACTGTATATAGGGGAGGGAAGTAAATGATCTGTTGTCAGACTTCTTTATCTGAAGATTTTGTATTAACTAAAATTCAGTTTTTAGGTTAGTAACTTCATTTGTAATGTAAATAAATGGCAAGCTTTTAAAGCAAAGTTAGATTAATGTGTAATTATTCTTAGTGTATTTCTTAAGTCTTAAATACACTGATATACTTCTGATGACTTCATCATAATTGAGAACCTCTGATATGGTTGTGCTTCAGTGTTTTCAATTTTCTGCTTGTATTTTGGCAGTTGTGGGTTTGGTTTTTATATTTTTGCTTTTTTACAATATCATATTGAGATTGTATTTGATATGTTATTCCTGCAGTTCTTGGGGTTTGTTTGGTTTTGGCTTTCCAAAATATGTTTTCAATCCAAATATATCGCAAAGTGCCTCATCAACTGAATGCTAAGAATGCTGTAGGATTGCAGTACAACTAAACAACTAAAATCGTTATTCTCTGTCTAGAAAATAAATGCTAAATTTCTTCTATATTCTGTAAATATTTAGATGTTACCTATTTGTGTGTTAGTATTTATGTATAGACGTAAAAACAAGCATCTTTCACACATTACTGTTGCCAATTAGAGAACATCACCATGTCACCAGTGGTTTATTCCTCTCTACCCAGAAGAAAAAAAAAACAAACAGAAGAAAAAGAATTCAGTCACAACAACCCCATGCAGCACTACAGGCTGGGGCAGAGTGGCTGGAAAGCTGCCCAGTGGAAAAGGACCTGGAGGTGCTGGTCAACAGTCAGCCGAACATGAGCCAGCAGCGTGCCCAGGTGGGCAAGAAGGCCAGTGGCATCCTGGGCTGTATCAGCAATAGTGTGGCCAGCAGGACTAGGGAAGTGAGTGTCCCCCTGTACTCAGCACTGGTGAAGTCACACCTCAAGTTCTATGTCCACTTCTGGGCCCCTCACGGCGAAAAAGACAGGGAGGTGCTGGAGTGTGTGCAGAGAAGGGCAGTGGAACTGGTGAAGGTTCTGGAGAGAAAGTCATATGAGGAGCTGCTGAGGGAACTGGGGGTGTTTAGCCTGGAGAAAAGGAGGCTTAGGGGGACCTTATCACTCTCTACAGCTACCTGAAAGGAGGTTATAGCCAGGCGGGGGTCAGCCTCTTCTCCCAGACAACAAGTGAGAGGACAAGAGGAACTGGCCTCAAGATGTGTGAGAGGAGGTTCAGATTGGACATCATGGAGAATTTCTTCACTGAAAGCACAGTCAGACATTGAAACAGGCTGCTCAGGGAGATGGTGGAGGCACCATCCCTGGAAGTGTTCAAGAAATGACTGGATGTGGTATTGAGTGCTATGGTTTAGTTGACCTGGTGGTGTTTGGTTAGAGGTTGGACTTGATGACCTTGGAGGTCTTTTCCAACCTTAATGATTCTATGATTCTATACAGTATGCATTCACTTAAGCTGGTGGTGGTTTTTAAAGACCATCTGGTCTTTCAAGTCATAGGATGCAATCTGAAGAAGTAATGGTTGTGGCTTCAGAATTTCTTCTAGCTCTAAGCTATGTGCTTTTGGTATGTACGTAATTTCCTGAATTGCTCTCTGATAAAACTTTTTTCTAAAACCATTTTGGATCTGCAGTATGCTAATATGCTAATATTCTCACATATTTTTCTCCCTTTAAGGCAAGAACTTTTGAAGTGGAATGGATGGGGATATAATGACTCCAAATTCATCTTCAATAAGAAGGGTCAAGCAGAATTCACAGGAAAAAGGTAAGTTGAAAATTTATGTAACTGAAGTATCTTATAGTAGTCGTTTTATTGAAAAGAGTTTAAAAGCTGCACAGTACAGTTAATCCAAAGAAGGCAAAAAAGTTGCTTCATCTCACAGAATAGGTTATTAGTTCTGCATTTAACAGGTTTATTGAAGTCTATACACAGTAGTCTAATGTAATAAAATAGAATATGTGGCTTATTAAAAGGTTTATTAAAAGTGTTATAAAGACAAATCGATGTGAGTCTTCTCTGTAACTTGATATACTCGTGCATTAAACTTTTCTTAGAGAATTAAATCAGACTGAGAATCTGCACCATGTTCTAAAGCTTTAGATAACATACAGCAGGTCAGTGCAGTTTTGAGAATATCTTGAGCATCAACTAGCTGGTTTATTAAACTTCTGATTTGTTTTGGGTTTCTTAACCATTATATATGGAGTTACTTCATCCTCTGAACTTAAAAACTGCTCTTCGGTTCAGTGTTCTGTAGTGGCTTCACTTCTGATTAATTACCCACTGACCCTTTGTACAGTAAGCTTGTTTTTCTGAGAAATATGTTTTTTTGAGAAATGACATTAAAATTAAGTCTACTTGGGGATCTCTTAATTTTGTTCCAGTGGAATTTAAACCTGTCACTTGACATCTTATTGTTTTTTGGTTTTTTTTTCTGCCTGAGTGGAAAGTAATCTTGCAGTCTCTTTCCTGGTTTAAAAATACATTTTCCGTAAGAGTAAAAAAAAAAGAAGGGGGAAGAGAAATAAGTTTGAAATAAGTACTCTCCTTCATAAAAATTCCCTCCTGGTCTTTGCGTTTGTGTAAACTAGCATGAACTAGCTTGCATCTAAGCTGCAGAAACCTAAGGGGGATGTTGAGCACTTCAATTGTTAATGTCTTGATTTTCAGGCTCAAATTAAAATGCAAAGCCTTCTATTAGGCAGTTTACTGGGTGATATTTAGGGAGATGCTGCACAGAAAATCAAAGCACACTACATAGAATAAACAAAGATAAAGGAGAAACCATCAAGGCTGCTTGACCGCTGTGTGACTGATGACTACCAGTCGCTGTTCTAGAATGGGAGGAGAATGGTGGGTTTTTTCCCCTCATCTACATTTTCTCTCTCTAACTGAGACATAGTATTAGAAATGCCTTGTTGGGCCACACCAGTATAGTTTCTATAGAATAGTTTGTCACAGTGGCAAAAGGAGAGTGTTTGAAGTGAAAATAGGAGAATAGGCACCTGCAAAGGTGTTGTAGATGCTTTGTCCTTTCACTACCCACTTACAGATCTGTTGTCCATAAATTTGTCTAATAACCTCAAGTCTGCTCCTACTGTCTTCCTGTACAGCATCTCACGGCAGCAAGTTCCAGGTTGCAGTTGTAAAGTACTTGTGTTTTGAACCAAGTATCCCATACTGTGTTGCAGGAGTAGGTGAATGATAGTTCTTCAGCCTATCTACTGTGTTATTGATTATATAAGACTCAGTCATATCCTCTCTTGCACTTTCTCTCCATATTAAGTCCCAGGCCCTTTAGTCTCTCTTTGTAAGGCTCCTTGATCTTTACAGTTGCTGTTCTCTGCACCCTCTCTAGCTTCATTAGATCTTTTTAAATCTTTCTGGAGATGGGGACAAAAACTCAAGGATACACCAATGTTCTACAGAGCAGCAAAAAGAGAGGAACTGTCTTCTTTCTTATGCCTGCCCAGTTGATGCATAGCACTCTTGGCTGCTGTTGTATGTTGTCAGTGAAGATATCATGATTTTTTCTATACTGACTACCAGTTACCAAATAATGCCTTTTTTTTTTTCTGGCTTTTGCAATTACCTTACCTTTCATCTTCTTTTGTCTGTTTTGGTTTGTTAAGATCCTGAGTTCCTATCAGTGTAGTATCTGTCTCCCCAAAAGAGCTTAACATTATACACCTGTTTGGAGAGTCCACTGATGAATCCAGATTGCTGATGAAGGCATTAAGTAGAGCTGGTCCCAGTACCAGTGTGTGGCAAACTGCACTCCTGAGTCTGTCTTGGCCAATGATCAATAAACCATACCTTTTCCTTCTTAGCTTAACCTTATCTTATCTTTCAGCTTGGAGAAGAACCTCTTCAGCACTGTAGTAATGTATTTTCTTAAATAAGTTTTGGGGTGAGCACCTGTGGAAGTATAAAGGAATGTGGAATTTCATGTTCATTGTATCCCCTTTTTTCACTTTCTGTTTTTACACCCTAATAGAACTCCAAGGATTAGTGAAACAAGATTTCCATTTATGAAAGCCATGTTGCCTTTCCCTACAAACTGATTTATCATGTGTCAAATGATCTTTTTATTACAGACTGCCATTTCGCTGGGGATAGAGGTTACTTGCTAGTCTGAGCAACTAAACCTATTTTTGGAGTGTGTCTGTGGCGGGAAGAAGGTCTTTTGGGGGGCTTCTTGCACCATCAACATATATATACAGAGCTTGCTTCCTGAGCAATCATGCACTGCACTCTGTGCAGTAAACTCAGTAATTCCTTCTATGCTGTGACTTCTGTCTCTGTCTTGACTTAAAAGTTTCAGGGTTTCTGATAGCTTTAGTTTGTCCTTTGAATAAGTGACTAAGACTACCCTTGCAAACTAGCTATAGTGATAGGTTGGCAACTCCAAAATGTAGGTCTGGAGAAGAAAACACACCAAGCTGACTTGGGTCTCTACCTTCGTTGCAAATTCTTGATGCAAGTGCATTAAACTTTCATTGCTTATTTCATTTCCTTGTCATAGAATTCACGTAACTTTCATGTGGGTATGATGAAACAGTAACAGCTGTCACAGGAGGAATGACTGAACCCCGTCTTCCATGCTGAACAGTTTAGCTTGAGTTAAGGTTGTGGCCTTTTATATCTAGGAATAGAGTAGGGGTTTTTGTCAATAGAAGAGCTGAGGGGTAGTTGAGATAAGGAAACAAAAGGAATTGATCTTTCTGTGTAATAGGTAACTCAGCTGTAGAGTTGGTTGCATCAGCCATGAAGGACAGGGTCATGATGGGATTAACAGTGACTGAATAATTTTAGAGGGAAGACCCATTAGGCCTAATGCAGTGACCCAGGTGAAAGCTATGGTAAAGATTCTCAGCTGCTGAAAGCTCTTAATCCCAAAGAAAGATGTTTTTTTTCTTCTCTGAGAATACTTGTGCATACATAAATATGCACAAAGTGTGTATATGTATACAATTAATAGCAGTAGTTTCTAGCTGTTTTAAGTGTGTCCCCTTACGTGTTTTCACATGTGGTGCCTATGGTCAACAAGCAGTTCCTCTGTCTCTCGTCTGTACATCTGCATTTGTCACATGGCTAAGCTCTTGCCATAGACTTTGTGCTGGAAATAATTTCACATTGCTTGATGGATTCTGATACATTTTGGTGATAAGAGAGGACTCTCTAATACTGGTTCTTTTTTTTTGCTTGAAAACATAAGGTATACTGAAATGAGTTTGTGTGTCTGAGACTGCTGTTGACATTGCAGTGTGTCCGTGCACACATCCTCTCTCCGTAAATGGCATGTAAACTGTGGCACTGCTTTCTACACTACTGAAAGGGAGAGACCTTTCTTAAGAGTGGTGGGGTGGGATATCCATAAAGCCTTATGCCACAATTCTGAAAGAAAAGTGATACCTAAGATGCTGACAACCAATTTGATTCTGTGTGAAGTACAGAACAGTTAAATACAATAAAATGTGCAGTTGCTTGAAAAGTAAATGTGCAGAAGCTTTGCAGGCTTGTAGATAAAGAATTTGATTTAAAACTTGTTTGTGCATACATAGAATTGAAAGAAGTGTATCTGACATACATTATTTTAATTTTAAATGACCCTATGTAATATTGACTTTTCAGGTACAGATTAGGTGGTATGATATTACCAACTTTTAAGGAATGGATAGAAAAAACCTTTGGAGCAAGTCTGGAGCACAAAACTACCTCTAGAGTAAGTAAATAGCTGAACCAGTTCCTTTGGGCATTAGTCTTGGTGATAATCAAGACCACACTGTTAAAGATGATTCAGCTGTTGCACATAATTGATTTAAATATAGTGTATTAATACCTCCAAGTTTTAAAAAAAAATACTTGATGTAGAATTAATATGTAGAACCTTTCATGCCTTAGCATGACTTGTGGTTTCAGGATTACTGGTAACACGTTTATTGGAATTAAAGTTTCCAACGCAGAAGTTTTTTGTCCCTGTTGGTAACTTGCATTTCCGGATTGTAGAAACTGTTAGCCTAGAGGGAGTTGTTTATGCAACATCAATTTTGTTCATGATGACAAAGACAGAAGATACAGGGAAGTTAAATTGTGATGTGTTTTCAGTGTATTAAAGGTGTCAAAGTTCTTATTTGACAGTAATTCTTTTTTATATGTCTGGGTGCTGAAAACCAGCTACCAGAATACTCAGGATCAAACTGAATATTTTTTGAAAAATAACACATTGGGAATGTTCTGGGTTTTGTAAATCATACATATTTTTCTTTTTGGAAAGAGTATCTTATGTTAGTGTCAGGAGACCTGATTCCCTTCTTGTTAGAATTCCTTTGAAGCTTCAGGTTCCTAGAAGCTTCAGGTTCCTAGAAACTAGACAGTTGCTTAAGCAGTATTGGAAGCAGGCTGTGCTTGTTCTGTGACTGTAGCAATGCTGCTTTGGGTAACAGTTGTACCCATTTCTTGATTGAGTTCAAGATTACCTGCTTCAAAGAAAATGCAGCCTCCTAGGGCCTGAAAACTTGAATATTCATAAAGACATTCTTTCATCTGCTGTGACTTACAGGATCTCCGTCTGCCTATGTATTTTGAAAAAATTCTTCTTGATGTGTTTTTGTTGACCAGAGTTGGTCTTAACTGGCAGCTTCTTTAACTTGCTGTGAGCAGAGGTCTTGAGAACTGTTGTTCCCTTTCTACGTGTAGAGAAAGTATAGAAAAAAGTAGAGTTGAAGGACAACTACAGATTTTTGAATAATGCCCTGATTCCATAGTACATTTTGCAAACCAGCTTCACGGGATTTCTGCCAGCAATGTTGAATGCATTTTTGTTTTGTTGTACCCCTCTGGTTCTGATGGTCTTGTGATCTGGAACAGGTTGACTATCTTGACACAGAACAGGACTATTTGGAGTCTCCAGTATCTATCTAGACTTCTCACAGTTAGTCTCAAGTACTTCTACAGGTCCCTCATTTTCATGTCTGTTGTAGCTCTTAGTTTATGTTTCAGTTTGTCATGCTATGTAGGGTGTTTGCCTTCTACTATCATCCAAGCATTAGGAAACTCTGATATAGGAAAAGCAGTAGGAAAGGGACCTCTTGGTTCATATGTCTTTCTCTTTCTCTTCCTGCTTCTATCCTATAAGATTGGAGGGTTCCCTGTTGCATGTGACTTTTCTGTTTAATTAACAACAGTAATGTCACGCTCAGGGCTGTTGATGTTTTTTCTTTTTTCAGACCAGACTGAACACTGACAGAAGTTTAGGCCTAGTTCACATAGGCTTCTTGTCTAGCCTTTCAGTGCACAAATCTTAAAATGTCTCATTCCTGTGAGAATAAATAAAGGTGTATTTTTGTTTGTCATTATGCATAAGATTTTTATAAATAAATATTAACTTTTTAATCTTGACGATAAAAACTAAAGGATTAAAAAACTTGTGGAAGAGTTAAAAATCAAGATACTTAAAACTATCTACAAGGAATTGTTACAGCTTTAAGTAGTTTATGTCCCACTTATAGAGAACAAAGATCTTCAAGCACGTAGCATTCAACTTGAAATGATAGGAAATAGTTCTGTCTAAGGAAATCTGTGAAGAAACAAAAGTTTAAAATATGAAATGTAAGCACAGCTAGCAAGGATTTTTCTTAAAAGTGGTTTAAAGGTCTTAATTGGTACCTGTTTGTTTGTTTTTCATATTTTCCAAGTTTCTATTGAAGCTCTGTTCTTTGGGCTAGCAAAAAGCATTGTGTGAATGTACATTAGTAGCAGAACAGTAAGAGCAGCAATCTAAGACCTGACTTTCTTTGTACTTATTGTAACTGGCTGCTAAAATCATGATCTCTCGGTGGTGGTGTGCCTCTCACCTAACAACACTTAATTTCAGCTTCTGTGTCTTTAGGTGACAAGGTGAACATACTGGAGGCAAGCCTTTTTCTCATCTGTATGACACCTTATTTCAATAACTACAACATTAGCCTTAAAGCAAGTCAGGATGGCACATATCCTCTTCCAAAAGTCCAATCCTTCTTAAAACTTTATTTTCGTTACATCATGTGTCCCATATGAAAATTCTAAACCAAACATTTGGCTATCCTTTTGAACCTGTAAATTATGTTAGCTATTAGTAATGAACATCTCATGCAGCTGTTTCTTTCTGAATTATTATTGTGAGTACTCTTAATTTCTACATAACCTTACATAGTTCCTTGTTGGTGGACACTGGTAGGCAAGTTCCATCACCATGGATCTTTTAACTATCTGAAGACTTTCCTGTGGAAGTTTAAATCTTTCCTTCTTCAGCTTTCACAACTTTGAGACTCAACCCATTCAGAATAGACTGCTGCTGTTGTGACATATGGGATACTACTAATCTCCAATTTCCTTGCTGTTAGCTTGTTAACTGGTACTATCTTCTAAGATTTTATCTTAAGACACATACTGGCAAAAAGTATCAGCTGTTCTGGAGGTTATGTAGAGCAAAGAGGCAAAACTCTGTTCCAGGAAAGAAAAAAATTCTTTGACTGTGTGGAACATCATTGCAAAATACTTTTTGGTGGTAGGGCTGTAAGCCAGCTCTTCATGGCATCCCTAGGCAGCCTGTAGTCTTTCCTGGTAGCTCTATAACAAAAGCATGAGCGCGTTCCTCTCTTTGGGTTGATGTCAGTTAATTTGCCAGCAAGGTTCTCATGAGAGAAATGAAAGCAATGCACTCTTTTAACTAATTTCTCTGCAACTCCAGATATTTGAAACTGTATTTAAAATTAAAGAGATGTGGTAAAAAACCTTTGATTTCTGCTCTCAAACTTGAGGGACTTTGCTAACAGGAAGTAAGATTCTTGACCAACATTTTCTTTTGAAATAGGACTTGAAGTGAAGAAGTTCGATTTTAGTCATAAGACAAACTTTTTATCTAATTAAAGAACTCTTTAATTAGAGGCCATTTGTAATAGAAGATATATTCCTTTAGGGAGATTACCCATATTTGTTCCATTTTTAAGGAGAAAAAAACCCATGGGATTTTTTTTTTCTTTTTTGGAACCTTCAAAGCACATAAAAGTGTTACAGTTAATTTCTGAAAAGACTTTTTTTTTTTTTTAACCAGATCCTGTAAATTCTTTATGTGTGTTTAAAAAGTTGACACATGAGCTACATTTTTATGTCCCCAATAATCTGAAGTGGACTTCAGAAAAGAGTTAAGTGGCTAGGTCTGCACTTTGAGAAGCCATAAGAGTGCTAGACAAGACATCTTTTGGAAGGACCTGGGAGATTGGGTCATTAGAAAACCTTAAGCAGGGGTTCTCCCCCTGGACTTACAGAACCTTTATTCAAGGCCTGTTGGTAAGTCAAAATGTCCCGTGTAGCTTCTTTGAAAGAAAAACTTTTTTCCATGGTGTTGATCAGGACTTCTACCTGGAGGCTTTCTGGAAACACCTGCATGTTTGTGACTCAGCATGGATTTTATGAACTTTTATGGGTGAAGTCTATTTAAAGCATGCCAGTTATGTGGTATCAGTTGTGTCTGATATCAAACTTAGTTGGGCCTTGCACTGGATTTCTGATTAGGCTTTGGTCCAATTCGGATTTAACTTCCAGTACATGACAGGAGATGGGAAAGTGGGTTAGTGAAAACTGAACACTTAAGTAAAAGAATTTGCAGAGTTGTGGTGGCTTTAGTATGTATGTTAGTGTTTTGGGAAGTCTTAAAAAAGGTATTTTGTTCAGTATGCACTCATAAGCTAGTGTGTTTCTCCGAATTTGTCAGGAGGAAGAAAGGTAAGAGTGTGCTACTGAAATAAAACTTCTTTTGTGCATATAGTCAGCTGAGTACTGGGTAGGATAAGTTGGATTGGTGGTTGAAGATCTGGAGGAGAAATGATTTCTTTCTGATTTGGAATAGTTGTGTTAGGGTATCAGTGTTAGCCTGTTTTTATTATTTCTGTTGTATAGAAATGCTGTAAGAGTGAACCTATCTTTAATGAACTTATTTTCTTGTATTGTAGGCATCCTTAAATGTTAACGATGTACCTCCACCCATTGTAAATGAAGAATTTCTTCAGGATCTTATAGCCACTAAAATCTCATATTCCCAGGATGCAGAAGATAGGGTATTCAGAGCTCATGGTAAGAGAACTTCATTTAGGTAACTGTGCTGCTTTTGATTCTTCCTTCTTTGGACTTGTTAACTTATTGTTTGTGTTTCAGGTCACTGCCTACATGAGATATTTGTACTCAGGGAAGGAATGTTTAAGCGAATTCCTGATATAGTTGTATGGCCTGGTAAGCTTTAATTGTCTTATTCTCCCTTCTGATCTGGGAGGCCATTGTTTACTAAAGTCTGGTGCTTTGTAATCATGGGGAAGCTGTCTCTTGGTTCACTGACTTTACTCATCTTTACAGAAACTGAAGGAGTTTTCTCATGAATGGTAATCATGATTATTTAACATCTGGACTGCAGGTTGTCTGTGAAATCCCATCATTTTGTGGGGAAGTCAAATTTACTAGTAAATATAGCTGAGGCTTCTGTTAACAGATGAATTCATGACTTAAGTAACCACAGTGTAATGTGAACTTGTATGTTCACCAAGAGTAATTGTCTAAATGGCAATCCAAATTTTGATTTTTAAAGGCATACATGATGGTAGAAGGGTAGTGAAATGTTTGTGTTAAAGAACTTTGTTTTATGACATGCTGTACTTCAGTAAAAACTCCTATCAGAGCACTTTACAGAGGATCATTGACTTGAAGACAGAGCAGTGCAATCTGAGTATAGGCTAGACTCACTTTAATTAGAGTAATAAATAATGCTGTTGCAGATAATCTGTAGCAGAAAATGTGCTTGTTTCTGTCTAGTAGAAAGAGACAAATACTTTTTTTACTTCAATCATGTGCCTCTGGTCACTAGGAACTACTTCATGTGCCATTCTTTAGTAGAGAACCAAAAGGTCATTTGATCTAAATACCTGTCAGTTTCTGTTCAGCTGTATGAATCCAGTTCTTTCCTTATCTTTTATAACTTTGATAGCTGCACTGCATTACCCAAAAAATTCTTATTAAGAACTTAATCCTAGCTCAGTTTCACCTCCTTTATTTAGAGGAAAAAATCACATACGGGAAGCGTACAAAGAAGCACTGTAAGATGCAATTCATTGCTTGAGAACAGGTACTTGCATGACAGCACTGGTGACTATGAACAGTACTTGCCACAGCTTGTGTTTTGTGTAACTCCAAAAGCAGCTGAAACAAAATGATTAACCACTTTATTTAAAACTGCTCTGTATGGCAAGAGCAAAGTAGCTAGAGTTTGAAAACCATTTATTTAGTCCTGCTCATTCTCTGCTATTTCTACAAACTCATGTACAAACTGTATTTGATCTCTTTTTTGATCCTTTTCTTTGTCTGTGCGCAAGCATTTCTGCTTCCCTCTTTGTCCAGGTACAGAATGCATTTTGAAGAACTAAATTTCACCAGCAGCTCCACTTCTGAAACTGAATGTCAGCCAGGAAGAAAAAGATGTGGTGTTCAGCTTTTAGAAGAGACTTATTTCTCACTTAAAATAAATTGGACAGCCTATTTTCAATAAAACCTCTAATCTTGATTTGATGAATTGTTAACTGTTTGGTAGCCCATCAGGCCCTGAGAATTTGTAGGAGGTCTCAATCCATGAGTAGAGCAAGACACTAAGACTGTGGTTAGTTTTTCAAATGTAGAATTGTTTGAGGTCTGCACTTTACTCTGTAACTCCTGTAGTTCTGAACTCAGCTCTTATCTAGTGCCTAACTTTGAAATGCCTTCCTTCCTGGTGTCAGAAAAGGAATTGCCGCTTATTCAGACCGTGGTATTTTGTAATAAGCAAATAATAGTACTAACCACAACTCCTGTTTTTGTTAACTCTTTGGACTTTTTTAGTTTGCCATGAAGACGTAGTTAAAATTGTGGAATTAGCCTGCAAACACAATCTCTGCATAATACCATTTGGTGGTAAGTGTTATGAAATCTCATATCTGTTTAAGGTCACTAGTGAAAATGTATTCTACTTCAATTTAAATATGTGTTCTTAGTCATACAGTATAACAATAATTCAATAGTTAGATTTTTTTAGTAATATTTTAAATGTGGTCTTAATTTTTTTATTATCTTGAGGTATTAAAAGCAGCTATGTTTAGTGGAAGTCATCAAAAGTGTGTCAATGCCTTGAATATTGAATATACAAGAGGAATGACTATATGAAGCTGAAATCTCCCTCTGTGCCTTGGAAATCTTCATTTCCTAGAAGTCAGGAGATTCAAATATTTGTATTAGATTTACCATGGTTTTGGATGCATTACTTGTGCTCTGTTCCCACAACATGTATAAATTAGGGTTTTTTTGTTGTACTGTTGAAACTCATAGTTTCAGGGAGGATTGTGGTCAAACACTGTACTGCAAAATAATTCTAATTTCCCTTTAGACATTTTTCAGTTTGAAAGGTAGAGACTCCTATGGCAAGAGGTTTTCAGGAAGTGTTCCACAGACAGAGTACAGGTAAAGGCCTGTATAATCTGTGTCTGTCTCAGCCTAAAGAATTTCTGAAGGACTTCAGGTTTTTAATTGTGGATGCTTTTTCCTCTAAGCCTGCTGAAGTAGAGTTGTGAGCTACCTCATTTTGACATAGAGCTCAGGGAACATGGGATGTTGGCTTTCGTGAGCTCAGTCTGTGGGAAGGTTTTTGTCAAAAACTCTTCAATCTGTGGTATAAATCTGTGTGTTTTACTTGGTACTTGCTTATGCTGTAGGAGTATAGCCTTTGTAGGAAGGATATTTACTGTTTGAGAGGATGAGCAGGTCATTTGATGGCAATACCAGATTTGTGGAGCTGGTTCCTCCATGAAACAGGCTTACCCTTGCCAGATGCAGCTGGAGAGATGCAAGACTGTTAAAAGGCACCCTTGGTACTGGTAAACTGGTATAGCTGAAAGCAGCAATATTGACTATTTCTTGTTCACTGACCAGGATACAGAAAGGTGTTCAGGTTGTTTTCCAGATTTGTTTATAGTAAACAGCTTGTGAAGTTATTACAATAGGGGTTGGTATTTAAGGAAAATGTCACTGGAAACAAAGGTGATGGGCTTTACTGCTCTTGAAGAGTGTTTTATTAGCTGGCACTGTCTCTGTACTTGCCATTGACTGTTCTTCTTGTAGCCTGCTGTAGGTCTCCTTAGCATTCTGTTCTCTCTTTTCCAATGGCTTTTGCAGTCTTAGAGAAATGAAAGGCTTCTTGGCATCCTGTAAAGATACATTAGAAAACTGGAGAAGTCTGACGTTTGACTTCATCCATTTTTTTTATACTTAAACCCTTTTGGTTTATTTTTTACTTTCAGATAAGTATTACATTCCTGTGTTAGGTAGACTTCTTAAGACAGCTTTGTAGATTGAAGTGTAGTGGCTTCCGTTGTGGTATCTAAACACTATATAGAAACCATAGCTCCCTGTTTCTTCAAGGCTTTGTAAATTCTTATCCCTCCTTGTTTTAAAACGCTGTGCTGACCTTAACAGAAGCAGCTGAGATGGTCACAGAATGTTATGGTTTTTTACGTAGTGCTGTTAAAGCATTATCCAGCTCCACTGCTGCCTTGATTTTGTGAAACCTAGTTTGGGAGAAGGGACGGCCCTAAAAGGCTAATCACTAGCCTCAAACAGTTCATTCAATGATCTTACTTTATTAAGTTCCATATCAGAAAGGAGGGAGAGAGGGATTGTATTGGAAGAAAAGCTACCTGAGAATTTTATGATCACAATATCATTGCCATATTTGCAGGAGGGACAAGTGTCTCCAGTGCCCTTGAATGTCCTGAAGAAGAAAAAAGAACAATTATCTCGCTGGATACATCACAAATGGTATGCCCCTCTTAATGTTTTGTTTTAATTTTTTTTAAATTATCCTACAGTTACATTGGTGATCACATTTCTTTCTTTGCCAAAATAAAGTAGGGATGGAAATATTAATCTGTACCATGCGTGATTAAATTGATACTCCTTCAGCTTAAGTGATATTTTTCCGTTCTTAGCCCTATACTGCTTCATATGACTTGTATGTATTTAATAAGAAAAAAGTCACTGCTAAGCCTTCTTATGGCAACTTTAAGTGAAAATCAGAGGAAGCCACTCATCTTCTGTATTGGAACTTGCATCTGATGTTAGATGAAAGGCTAAGAGGAAGTTGCTATTGCAAATTTCACTAGTTTTTGCAGACTTTAAATTACTTAAAACAGAGATTAGTAAGGTGACCTAATATCTATAAATCAACTTGAACGATAAACTTTCAAGAAAAAACTCTGTTTTTTTTGTGGAGATAACATCTTGAGAACGTGAAGTTCATAGCTTTATGGCAGTCTAGAAATGAAATTCTGTAAAATTTATTGCTAGTTTTCATCTTTCCATTATGAAGAAGCTTTATGCTTTTAAACTGATAGCTTTATGGCTACATGGTAATGAGGTGCTTCAGAAAGAGCTCTTTATCTTTGATGTAAGGCTCTACTGCCTCCAAATACCTGCTGAGCTTAATTCTTTTAGCCTTGAAGGTAAGACCTGGGTTTTGGCTCCATTTTCTCCACTTAGTCAGCGGTCCTTCAGTTAAACTTGTTTCTCTCTGTTTCTAGCTACAAAGTGGTATTTTCTGCAGAGGTGTTAGTTGCATATTGAAGGAAGCTCTTTGGGTTTCTGTGTGGAGTGAAATCCAAAGAGTACAGTAGTGACTCAGGCCTTCATTTGAACTCATTGATTTATAGCCCAAAGCTTTGACTTCTGTTGCGGAGTGGGAAGGAAATGTTGTCAATTCTTAGTATCATGTTTTTTTGTCAGCTAGATATGTAAGTATGCACTGAGTTAGAAAATAGACCACTTTTCAACCGTCTTGAATGACTGCCAGCCAATTCTTGTAAACATTAATGAAGAGGGAAAATAAGGAAATTAAGGTGAAAAGAAGCATTGTCAGAGTTAACACCTGTGTATGTCAGAGCAGTTAAGACGGTTGCATGAACTTTACTTTTTTAATATGTGTATATATATTAATATATATATATGTAGGGTCTATATTAGATAAAAACTGATTTGTGTAAGCATCTGAGATAATTTATACATTTTATGTTGAAACTGAAGGTGTCTAGAATGAGCTGAAGTAGTTTCCTTTGAATAATTAGCCCATACTTCATGAAGGGGAGACAATTTTTTAAAGCCCAGTTTAAGTTAGACTACAAGATGTCCACATTTCTTTAATTTGAAAAATCAAGGCAGAGGGAAGTTACAGTTGTTCTGCTTCCATATAATATTAATACAGAGAATTATCAAAGTACACCAGAAGCGTACTAAAGAATAAGAGGGGAAGCAGAAACTTCTGTAGTGTCCTTAGTATGTTTGTTAAGTTCCTTAACCATATTTATTAAGTTTCTCCTTCATGTGAATTGTCCTCATGGAGAATTGTGCTTAGTGCACCATGTAACTTGCAGTGTTTGCTACTTTTCCTGTTTAGTAGAATATGCTGATGGGACAGTGAGTGTCTTGTCAGGTAACATGATGTAATCCTTCCAAGTATCTTAAACTTCTAAAGTATGTACCTACTGTGGCATTCTGGTGTACTGTGTCAAAATCCAAGAGCTGAACTGGAATAACTTAATGCACTCTATTTAATCTCTATTTATTGGTGTATTCTAATGTCCAGACAGTCAGATTCAGGTACCTTCAATCATGTTAGTTGTGGAAATTGCTGTATTGCTTAACTCCTGTTCAGAGTTTTGACTTAATTATTTCTGGCTTTTTTGCTTTGTTTCTGTAAACGTTCCTAGTATAAATTGATTAATAAGTCTCTTACTCTCTTATACTGGTGACTTTTTAAATTGAAACCTGTTGTGTATCTGTTTGAGGGAGTAAGGAGGCTCAGCTTCCACTGCTGTAATGACTGGAGTGGTATTAGTAGTAAGTTGTATGACCAAGCATGTTGATCCTAACATTAGGGAGGGAAAGAAACAAAAATCTTGAACACTGGTTCTTACTTTTGATTGGCTTTTCAACAGAATCGGATTCTCTGGATAGATGAGAAAAACTTAACTGCTTGTGTAGAAGCTGGCATTGTTGGACAAGATCTGGAGAAACAGGTATTTTCAACTGGTTAACTGGCTAGTATTTTTTCGTATTTTTCTTAGGTGTTCCTCATATCTTTTCCAAAACCTTGAATTCTAGCTTAATCCCTGTGTGTTTCATGCAGCTGGTGTGGTAAGAATTACATGCACTGGTTATGAACCAACCTTCCCTAGTATATGTCCAGTAAACATATAAAGCCACAAGTTCCTCTAATATGAGAGAGAACCATGAGCTAGATGAATCACCATAGACGGTACACAGAAGTGACTTTCAGTCTTTAAGTTAGAACCACTTTGTACAATAGAACATAGTTCATGATCCACATTATGTGGTATACTTAAATACAGCTGTCCAACATGATTGTTATCAGTTGGTCAGTGCAGATTGATTATCTCAAATGGATTAATGCAATTATCACTTAATGTGAGTCTACTTGGTCTTTACTTCTTGCTGTCCGACAGCTTTAGTGTTGTAATTCTGGGGGCATCCAGTCAACCTCAGGTGCTGTGCAGATGGCAAAGCCAAGTTAATACAGAAAAATGAGAAACGAGTGATTACTTAATGTACAGGAATGTGTGATCTGCATCACAAATAGTTGACAACGTTGCATACAGGAAGCCCAACCAGATGGCTGTGTATTAAAACACATCTCTCCTTGAGAGAATTAAGTTCAGGCAATTTACTTGCATTTTCTGCAGACCCGCTGCATAGAAATTAGGACAGAAAGAACAAGAGATTAAGTGTCTTATTTATTGGCAGCATTTGTGCAAAGTTGGCACTTACTTAGTCATAACTTTTTCCATATGTATTTGAATTCGCACCTTCTTTTGAACAATACAGGTCCTTTAAAATATGGGGCAGGAGTATTATAGGGTGATATGTGGCACAGCGCGTGCACAGCAGAATTAAAATCTGTTTGCATTTTATGTACATATCAAAGATAAAACTTGTGCTTGAATAAATTGGTGTGTGATTAGAATACTTACTTTAAAAAAAAATGGAAAACAAACCAAACAAATACAGAGTATTGACTTTGGAGTACTAAGCCAATGCAGACTCTGTAGGATGTGTTTTTTCCTTTCTTTAGCTTGCTGAAAGTGGCTTCTGTACAGGCCATGAACCAGACTCCATGGAGTTCAGCTCACTAGGAGGATGGGTAGCAACACGAGCATCAGGCATGAAAAAAAACATCTATGGAAACATTGAAGATCTGGTAAATAGTTTTAATACTTTTTCTAGTTATTCTGTTCAGAGATTTAACTTTTATAATGACTCACAATAAAAGAAAGGAAGAGTAAATTGTGGTTCTTTGTGTGATACAGTTTTGGCATCAAATCTTGACACAAATGCTTTTTTGCTTGCTTTTGGTATTAATGGTAATAATTCTTGTCACTGATCTAAAAGTAATTTTCATTTGGGTACTCACAGGCTAGCCTAAGGAATCGTTACCCCGTCCTGACTCTGGTGCTGTCTTCTACCAGTTTGTGCTCTCTGTTAATCCAGTGTAACAATCCTGTCAAGCTTTTGGGGTGATTCCAGAATTCCCGTGTGTTCTCCTACCTGTTGTGTGTACCTGAAGATGTCTAGTTGGACTATCTAACTCTGACAGCAAGCTAGCTCTTTCCACCTTTCTGGATCCCCCTAGGCTAGTAGTTTTTCTCAAATCAGTAGGCTGATCTAATTGACCATGTGGATGCACAGTGGTGAAATCTAATGCCACCACACGGTCTGTAGGAACCCAGAGGAAGGAAGCAATACACTGGGAATGGCTGTATTCTACTCTTGAATTTGTTTTAAGCATCAAAATGGTTCATCTTTATATTAGGTAATTTTTTTGGTTTTAAGCACACTTTTTGATTTTAAAGTCCACCTTTTCTGTTATAATAAATATATTGAAGATATTGAAGCTAAATCATCACTGTTCAGACTTTGCCTGCATTTTTTCTTCAAAAACTTCCAGCTTTCTCTGGTAGTTTGTACAATAACCCTTCCACATGTGAATTTTTTCCTCCTTTCCTGCAGTACACTCTAGGTAATGTATCCCTGTCACCTCAGGCCTTTTCATCAGCTCATAGTTCAGACCTGTTTGTTCTGTGCACAGATGTGACACTTCACAGTCAGTGACTGAGCTTGGCAGGAATTACACAGTTTTTATTCAGTAGACCTGGCTGAACTAAAACTAGTAGCACTTACAGGGTGTCATTGTTCCCCTGTTGCCTGAAGTGTTACTGAATGGTGTAGTTTGGCTTGTACTGGGAGTTGTGAAGCAAAGGGCTTTTCTATTATGGAAGCATAACTTCAGGCTAAAACAGCTTCTGAAATTTTCATTAGGAGGAAAGAGGATTGAAAATTGATTCAGAACAGTTCATGAGTTTCAAAATGGCACAGTGAGAATGTTTCAGGAAAGTGTTTACCTTCCAAGGAAACTTTTATATCTTGAAACAGTGTGTTATATAAGCTGCCTAAAATCTACTTACTGCAGAATCAATGGTTCATAAATTGCATATAATGAAAATTACTTAGCTACCTGTGCTTGAAAGTTTTAAAGCCATTAGTTGAAATTCAGTAATTTTGCTTCATTTAAAGGCATCGCTAAAAAACAAAGCTGAAACCCCACCCTCACTTGGTATAAAATAATTGAATAGAGGATTAAAAAGCCCCCACATCTGGGCTCTATTACATGTGCCTGAAAAAAGCTGGAAGCAAAAATATTGAAAAATATTTTTTAAAAAACAACCTTCTCACCCTACATATGTGTCAGTCTTATGACAGATTTTATATTGATAATCTGTTTCACAAAGCTTACTTCTGTCTTTCCTCCTAATGGAAATATTTCTGTAGCAATCAATGGCTGAATTATATTAGCCTGAACAAGCAGCAGTTCTAAAGCAAAACTTAAGCAAAGTTTAAACCCTCACTTTTTTTCTCTGAAGTACTATATATATTCTGCATTAAAATCCTGGTATTTTTGAAGTTCTGTCTATACAGAGAAGCAAAACAGTTTTAACTGGTGTTGCCTGCATGTAGCCAACAGCTGATATGATTTGCCAAAGAACTGGAAATGATCTGTTGTGTGGGGAACCATGCTGTGTTATAAATAATTGTTGGTAAAAATCCTTGGGTTACCCAAAAGTTCTTGGGGTTGCCTATAGAATGCCTAAAATCTGCAAAGCTGAACTGTATCAAGCTTAATATGTTTTGTGCTTAATGCTAGTATTTCTAATCATTGCATATTGTTTGAACAGGTGATTCATATAAAAATGGTAACTCCTAGAGGAATAGTAGAAAAAAACTGTCAAGTACCTCGCATGTCAACGGGACCTGATATCCATCACTTCATTATGGGATCTGAAGGTATAAACACAGTATCTTCACTTACTGCATCTTAATTCAGCTTCTGTAGTGGCTTGATTGTTTGAGCATCTTTAATGCTGTGGCTTCCAGTGTGTTGATGGGTGGCATTGTGCAGACAGAATTTCTTGTGTTAGGATAATACATTGAGACCTTAATTAGGACTGTGAAGTTTAGCAGCTTTTAACAGTGCTTTAAACAGACCTGTGGAGTTAGCCTACAAGTCTAGTAACAAACATCATGATTTAGAGGATTTTTTGTAAGAATTCACCATGTAGATAGTCAGGAATAAATCCCCTACTACTGCAAACTGAATTTTTGGGATTTCAGATTTATGTTAACTTATAGCATCCTGATAAGCAGTTGTTAAGTTGGGTAACTTGCAAGAAGTTCATCCTGCAAAATTTTGCTCAGTTTTTCTTTTCTCCTGAAGGAACTCTTGGAGTGGTTACTGAAGTTACGATAAAGATTCGTCCAGTCCCTGAATACCAGAAGTATGGCTCTGTGGTCTTCCCCAACTTTGAACGAGGGGTGGCCTGCTTAAGGGAAGTGGCAAAGCAGGTAAAGAAAAGCTGAATGTTGACTTCCCTCAAGGACATGGATTCTAGCAGTAGGGGTGTGTTGACGCTTTAGTATTTCTGGCATTTGATAACCAAGAATCTGATATAGGAATCTTGTAAGCATATATGAAAACAGAGTGTATGGTACATGAGGCTTTTGGAAATTATGCAGTTGAGGATTGAGCATTTTATGAGTTTGCTTGGTATTCTGAGCCAAAATGTGGACAGGCCTTGTAATGGCTTGTTTCAGTGGGAGTCATTTGCATATTGCAGCACAAAAAATTTGGCTTTGCATCTCCTTCAACTGAGAACCTTACCCTCAGGTTAATTAAGACTGTGTAAAAGGGACCAATATTTAAAGGGATTAAGTTGCAGCATACAGGTAAAAGGCAGTGAAATTTATGGCTCTGAAGTGGCAATGGAACAAAAGGAATGCAATGAAAGGATATGGCTTGTGTTTAGAAATCACTTCCTGGAGCACAGTGACATGTTCAGGTGAGGGGGATATTTCAAGGTGCAGTTCTGCTTACACTGTAGTATTTAGATAGAGAATAGTGTAGTCAGGTGGTTTCAGGTAGCAAAACTCATACACGGTACCCAAATTCTGTAACACTTTTTCTCCAGGCTGTGCTTCCAAACAGATCTTACACTGGCTAGCCTCTTTCTCCACTGACTAACTTTTCTTTGCTCTGTGCAAAACATATCAAGTTGTATATATGGTAGAATGTACCCCGAATTGGGGAAGTAATTTCAGAAATGTTTTAATTAATGCCAAACTAAACACAGCTTTACATTTTTTCCAGTGATTGGTCTAAATTAATGGCTTAATGTTCCAAGCCAGATGTTCAAACTGGTATGTGAATGACATGTATATGCTAGTCAGCAGCACTTGCCAGTTTTTCTGTCGTGCTTCTACTGCTAGTGCTTGTCCTTCCTGTTAAAGGTACCTAAGCAGACTTTTCGGGAATGCTTAATCATATGGCTGATAAACATTTAAAGTCAATTAGGGAACTAGTGTCTTTTCCCTGTCTTAGTTAGAAGAGGGGGAAAAAAAGGCACGATTTGCCACTTAATGTTGCTCCATTTCTAAGCTTCTGTTGCTGCTGCTGCTGTTTCACTGCTTATTTGAGCCTGAACTACTTATTCTTCTCTTCTGTTGCCCCTTGCATCAATCTCAGTAAATATTACAATGATTGCTATCTGAAAAGCTGTCTCTTTTATGTAGCAGTCCACTTTAATGTAAGAATAATCAACCTGCAGGTTGTGGGTGGGTTGGTCTCATTTAAAACCGCTCATATAGCCTTCTGTCAACCTGCCTGGTGAGGTATCTTAGTTCTTCATGTTCCTTCTTCTTGTTGTGTGACCAAAGATATATTAACGATATTATGAAGGGCGAACTTGTGAAATTAAGTGAAAGATAAGTACTTCCATATCCATGTGATTAAATGATAGCTAGCTTAAAATCGAGACTTTGTCACATTCCTCTCGTCATACATTTCAGTATGACTGGACACAACCATCAGAGATTATACAATATAGGCATATGCATGAAGCTTACCTGATTGAAGGCAGCTGTTCTTACTGTTGTTGATCTCTTCACAGTGCAGAATCTAGATTAGACCCAGGTATGGATTTTAATTGCAATCTGATGGCAGAGCATTAGTGCACTAGGTCTAGTCAAGATGGATTTAACTTTCTTCATAGCAGCCTGTGTGGTGTTAGCTCTTGTATTTGTGACCAGTAGAGCGTTAACCACTCCAGTGTTTTAGCTATTGCTGAACAGTGTGTACACAGTATCAAGGCTTTCTCTGTTTCTTACTCTTCCCGCCAGCAAGTATATTGGGAGCAGACAGGAGGCTGGAAGGGAAAACAGTTGAGACAAGCAACCCAAATTGACCAAAAGCAGATACCATAAAAAATCATGATCAGAGGTAGAACTGGAGGGGGGAGTTTCCCAGGGATTGCCATTGCTTGAAGACTGGCTAAATATTGGTCAGCTGGTGGTAACTGATTGCTTTTTGCATTATAATTTTGTGGGGTTTTTCCCATTTTGCTTACCCAGCTGTCTTTATCTCAACCTGCATATTTTCCCACTTTTGCCCTTCTGATTTTTCTCCCCCATCCAACTGAGGAGAGGGGTAAGTGAGCAGCTGTGTAGCACTTAGCTGCATGCCAGGGTTAACCCTCAACAATTAGACTTTTCCGGTGGATTTGTATTTTATGTGTATCTCTGATTACACAGCAACATAAGCTTAATACACTAAACGAGTATTGTATCTTTAATTCGTATGCCAATTTAGAAAAACACTCAGAACTTGAAGGTCAAAGTTTTTTCCTGTTGCTATATTGACTTGAGGTTAAAGTGAAAATTCTCAATGCATTACATCCAGCCATACCTAAGAGGTGTTGCTATTCAAGCGAAAACAAGCTTATAGTCACCCCTTTTCAATGATGATGATGGCCATAGGTCTCTGGTATCAAAGTGTGCTTTCTTATATGCTATTTTAAAGTGAAATTTTTATTGTAATGAATTTTAAAACCAATAATCATTTTATTCTTTCTCCCTCTTATTCCCCTAACTTTGCCTCCAAGAGATGTGCTCCTGCATCAATTCGCCTTGTCGACAACGCACAGTTTCAGTTTGGTAAGTATGTAGATCATCTTGGAAGAGTGTCTGTTTCCAAGGGGTTTTTAGTAGCTTAAGTCTGTTTTGGGTCATAATTCTTTTGATCAAAACTAGATAAAGAAGGCAATGAATCCAAAGTTCAAACTCTGGATAGTGCCATAATGTGTAGTTTCAGAAAACAGAAGCCTGTCTTTGTCCCTGGGGAAACAGTATCAACTAGTTGAGTCAGTAAAGAGCCATGATCTGCATATAAATACATGAGATGGGTTTTTTGCTACGTTTTCTTTCTTGACATAGTCTCCTGGTGAGTTTGAAATTCTGGAGTCACTTCCTCTATTTTGCTGTAAAGGAGCAGAGATTATAGTTTTGAAGTACAGTAGCTTCCTAAGGGTATTAATGAGAAGTTGGATATGAAAAAAAATTAGAATGCCAGCACCTTACTTTGAAAGTAAGTGGGTTGATGCCTTTAAATTTTGTGAAAGCATCACAATTGGTACACAGACTCCTTAGAAGTAGTAGGTTTTTTGAAAATATTCTGATGTGACAATGTTTGATTGGGTGGGAGAGAAGCAATGACATACTTGTCCAAAGTGAGCTGTCTGTTTTCAAAAGAAGCTCTGATGTAGTAAATGCTGTAATTGTGTGCGAATACAACTAAGCTGTGGGCTTTAAGTCAATGAAGCTACTAGAAGATTACTCAAGACAAAGATTTTGTGAAATTTCATGTTGTTCAAACACCTAAGTAGGACAATATCAGACATGCAGAACAATCATTTTTTAGCATTTCTTAGGAATGCTGTTATTTTAACTCTAGTAAATTTGACGAAAGATGTGTTCTGGCTCAAGATGCTCTTGTGGCGACCTTAAATTCCACTACCCAAAAGCTAATAGCTTGCAGAACTTGAAGGTCTTGCTGAGACCATGCTATTTTGATTGTACTCAGAAGATGAAAATGTGAAGTGTGACTGATCTTGAAACCCCCCATTTTAATACCACTTCAACAAATCAGAATTTCCAAAACTTCTTTTAGACAGAAGCCTCAGTAATGAATCTCAGCTTCAAGTGGTATTAATATGATGATGTTGAGAAAGATGAATTTCGTTTTTCACCAAGGAAATGGGGATTTGTTAGACCCAAGAGCCCAGCAAGCCTTGCTGCTTGCTTTGCTCACTCTTTTGTGTTACGCTATTTCACTCAGACATTTCCAACAGAAGGCAGATGCATCTTTTTTTTCTTTTTCATTGGGAAGCACAATTTGACCAATTACAGGCTTTAAACATAGTTTCAGGTGTGTCAATATAGATTTTTCTTGTAGTCACTATTAAGTAATTTTTTAGATTGTGATTTAACAAATTCATGTCCTTTTATTATCTGGTGCTTTTTTGTGTGCTTAGTTAAGTGTGCTTGGAGGTATATTCCTTGGTTTGTATCAGCAGAGAGAGTTCCTCTTTACTGAAGAGGAAAGTGGAGTAATCAGTTGCTGAAGTTCAAGTGTTATTCAGGAGGAAATACTTTGTGAAGTATTTTAGAAGGAAGTATCATGTAAATGATGCATAACTTTTTATGAATTGGGCTCACAGCATGTAGGCCAGATGCCAGGCTGCTAGAGTGAAGCAGTAATGGGAATTCAGAAGTTGTTTGTGACTGAAAACAATGGAACAAACAGTAAAAGACTTTCATCTCAATTAAACCCAGTCCTGAGGCAGAGATGTTAATTTAACAGGCTCCAAGACACCATTTATATATCCTGGTAGTTTTAGTTCCCCGTTTGTCATTAAGGAGGCAATTACTAGCTTTATGTAGAAAACTTCACACAAGTGACATAACTGTTAAGGAAAAAGTTGCTTAACTTCTATCTTGAACCATTTTTGGCTGTTTGTTTCAGTGGTTTTGGCATAACTTTAAAAAAAGGTTACTGATTTTTGCTGAGTTTTGCAATGTAAAAACTAATTAAGTACTCTTTTAAAAATTTTCCATGTGCCATAGGCTTGTGAAATCTAATCTGGGACAGCCTTAATTAAAGTGTCAAATATTTGTGCACAGTTGAACATATGTCTTCAAAAAAAGTAATGAAACCTTTTCCTAAATCATCTTCTAAATGATTAAGAGAATTCTCTTTGATTTTGATAATCAAAGTGCTCCAAGCAATTCTAGCAATTTTGACTACCAAGCCATTTCCTATTTGCCCATTGAAGTAGGAATCTTAAGTGCACTGTTTGCCTTAATGCACCTTTTTCTGCTTTTTGCCAAAGGTCATGCTCTTAAACCACAAGTTGCTTCCATTTTTACATCATTTTTGGATGGACTGAAAAAATTCTACATCACAAAGGTAATTTGGGGGTTTAATACTGTTTCAAACTTTGCATGCTATTCATAAAATTCAAGATTTTTTGCCTAGCTGCTTCTAATGCAGCTGACTTTGTTGTAACTGATACTGCAGTGTGAGATGTATTAACTTGAGGTTCTAAAGGTGGTTTAATTCAAACTGAGATTATCTGTTTGAGGAGTTATTACATGAGAGCTGTTGTCACTGGTCATACCTGTACCTGAGATTAGTGTGCCTTTCTTTGGCAGAAAATCGGTGACAGTGGGAGACTGGAACCAATTTATCCAGCTTGCAGACCAGTGATCATCAGTTAATACTGATGGAGTGGGGCTAACACTATAGTTTATTTTTCACTTCACAGGTTTTGTCAAGGCATGATCTACCATGTTATAACAATGAACTATAGAATTTTGTGAGAATCTCAAGATATTTGTCTCGATTTGCCCATATCAATTGGCTTTTTGTCTTTCTGGAATTCATCCCTTTTTAACCTAGAATTTGGTGCTAAAATGATACCACTTAGGCTTTTGTATTAAATAATTTGTCTTAATGTTGATTTTTCCTCCAAATTAACTAACTAGAGAGTTCCTGCAAATATGGGTATTCAAATGTAGAAAATAGCATTATCATGGATTTGAATGACTGTTAGATAAGAGGAGGTAAACATTCCATTCATATAACATGAAGAGATATTCATATGAAGCGATATGATAATACCAAGTGTCTTCAAAGAGCGGGCTCTACTTTTGAAATACAGTGGCTAGTGTTGATTCTGCAGCTTTTTCTCGGACTACTGAAGTGGGAAATAACACGTGTCTTGGGACTTCTGTTGTTAGGGAATACCTATTAGGTTTTGAGATGGCCTAGAAATTTTGCCTTCCACCCTGACCAGCTGTAGTGCAGGAATGTCTTAAGTAGTAAAGGTTTTGGCAGCAAGATTGTTGTCAGGTTGAAGCAATCCTAAGCCGGCAGTATCTACTGCTTCTGCAGTCAGCAACAAACATCACTGCTTCTTGGGATATTGTATCACAAAGGGATGTTGTATGCCAATTACAATTCTTTCAGCTCTGTAGGAGAAAAAAAACTATGGAGCAACAAGAGAAATGCTATGTTATGCTGATGCATAGATCCCAGGCTGGTGACCAATCCTTGGCTCTTATGTTAGGGCTCACTCCCCTGGTGCATATGAGCAACTGCTACTTAAGAGAAATTCCCAGCTGGGATGGGAGGTAGCAGTAGACAAAAGGAATAATTTTAATGATCCTGAGACTACTATTGCAGGTGTTATTGGGACCAATATACTCAAATCCATCTTATATCTTATTTCATCTGTGAATTTGGGAATGTTCACTGATAGAAGAATGCTAGGTGTTGCTAGGAACTGTAGTTCCTCCAGTGCCTCCTAAAGACAACTATAAGGTGTTAACTGAGCATTACAGCCAAAAGATGGCAGAATAGATGAAAGGATTCATACTAAATGTAATACAAGTGGTTCTAGGACAAGAAGGGACTGTAAATAGCATCTTAAACTCCAAGGACAGAAATAAAGGTCTATTATCATTATAGTAAAAGTATTTCTGTTTATTAGCTATGCTGTTTTTGTAGGACTAGTGCATAAGACAGATCCTTTGCCTGGTGAGGTATATTCAGCTTTGCAGTAGTTTTCAGAATGTTTTATTGGGGTACTGGGATTTTCTATGGCACACGGCTGATACAACTATTTTTAGAGCTGTGACATTTATGGTGGTCATAGTCATCTTCCTGCTTTAATACATGAATAGTTGATAGAATATAAATGTCTCTATTGCTCAAAACATTTAAGACCTGGGTTTTTTACAGCATAGGTAGACAGCTGTTATGTCTATCCTGCTTTTTAACAGGAGGAAAAAGGTGACAGATAATTTCTGTTATTTCAGTTGGCTTGTGTCCTGTAAAGGAAAAACTTAAATGTTTTGGGAGTAAATTTTTGAAAGATTTTTTTTTTCCCAGTCTTTCCTCTTTGTTGCAGCAACACTTACTGGCCAGGGCACATGCCATGTATTTGAAATTAAAAAACTGTTGCTTGTATTCTACCACATAGACTATGAATAATGCAAAGTTTGTCTCTCTTTGCAGTTTAAAGGATTTGATCCCAACATACTGTGTGTAGCTACCTTGCTCTTTGAGGGTGACAGAGAGAAGGTTCTTCAACATGAAAAACAAGTCTATGATATTGCCACCAAGTTTGGGTATGCTTTTCAAAGAACTTTTTCAGTGTGAAGCTGGGAATTAACTCTCCAGGAAGAAATAGGTCTGCTGTATTTTTGTAGTGATTACCGTATGGATATGTTCTCAGTTTACTAGTTTGAAGTGGCAGCAATCAATTAGCTATTGAATGTTCTCTTTGATAAATAAGGCTTGCAGTAACTCTTAGGTAACTGTACTGTAAAACTTCAGGTCTTTGTGTATTGCAATACAATATTTTACTAAATATAGAATTGATGTTATTAAAATGGAAACTAGCCCTTTTAATTGCTTATTGTCATGGAAGTGGCTTGTTTTGCAATACTAGACTCTACATTTTGACTACAGAAGGGGGAGGCAAAATCATAAGGGTAATATTAAATTTTTGCAGAATTGATGTGAGCATATGAATACAAGAAGCTTGTTTGGTTAAAGGAGTGCAGTGACTTTCTGTCCCATAGACTGTTTTGTGTCCTTACAAAGGAACAGAAAACACTCATTGAAGTGGCAGGCTGAGTAGTGATCAGGTAGTTTCTTTCCTTCTGCTTTGATTAAGCATGATTGATGAAAACCATCATCAAAAGTGTGATTTGTCAAGAATGTACTTTTTATTTTTAAGAAAGTTTTTGCTAATATTGGTCTCAGCTATACAAATGTACATATAAGTATTGTTTTATCCATTTCAAGGCTATCCTTTCTGAAATTTGTGTTTTCATTGTGCTTTCTTTCTATCACTTCAACCACGAATCCTTTTGTATTTTGGTATTTCAAGGTGATGGTGTATTGATAAGGGACACTTGTCTGTATTAGATCTGTTAGAAGATGGTGCTGTCTGTGCTGCTTAGTTAAGGCTATTAGTTAAGTGTTTAATGGTGTAACCTGGTTTAAAATGCTAAACCATTTAAGGCTTTTATAGTCTAATGTGTCTATCCTTCTTCAGGATGGTCTATCCTTCTGGATATCTGATTTCCCACACACACACCTTTCTGGGATTTATGGGAGCTTCTAGAAAGACTGATTAAGATACATAGCACTTTCTTATTCTTAGAAACCAATAGTTAAAAACAAATGCTTTCATAATGATCCTTGATAGACTAGTGAAAGCAAGGCTTCCTTTTTCTTTAGTGCTATGGCTTTTGTGTTTTGGGGTTTTTTTTAATTCATTTACATCTCTTACACTTTTGGGATCTTAAGTCGGGAGTCTTGCTCCCATGACCTGGGAGCATACAAGTGCACAACAACATGCTTAGAAATGTAGTTACACATGTTCCTGTAAATTAATATCCTGGATATACTAGCTTGTGTTTCTCTGCTCTTTTGTGAGTTTTGAAGACTGTTATTTTAGATCACATAACATTTAATCAAATGTTTTGTTATGTTCATCTCTCTTCTGGTTATTGAATGAAAAGACAAATGCAAAGAGTTAAAAGTCTGGTCTGAAGTAAGTTCTGTTTTTTAGTGAAGAGACCCTACTATTTTCAACTATTGTAACACATCTTAGGCAGCTAAACTAGCACAAGTGTTTAATAATCAAAGTTATTTTATAATTATTTTTGTAAACTGGTGACTACTTTGCTGTAAAGTTAATTAAATTCTTGTAAATTACAGTGGCTTGGCAGCAGGAGAAGATAATGGACAGAGAGGATACATGCTGACATTTGTCATCGCGTACCTTCGGGTAGGTCAGCTTTTGTTTGTCTGCTGAAACTTCTGTTAATTATTATAACAAAATATAGAGATGTCTTTTTGAAGATGCTTTCTCTGAAATCAAAGTGCAGGTTGCCTTGGATGATATCTCAGACTTCTCCTAGAGGTTATATATCTTCCATTTCTGATTAGTGATTATTCATGGAACTTCATCTAGAAAATACCATGAAGATATTAATTTATATTCTTGTTAAAGAAATAGTTTCTCATAAAGGATAGAGAAAATTAGATTGAAGAATCCACAGGTTGAGTGGAATCAGTCTTGGAGAGTACTTGAAATACTCATGTGCTCACTTGGCTTTTTACTCTTAGGAGATCTGCTTATGACTGTGGTTTGAATCAGAATTCCAACATAATGGACCTTTTATCTAAACTGCTGCAGCTGTTCTTATGAATGTTAGTCTTACTATTTGAGATTTTTTATTTTTCAGAATAATATGCATATCCCAAGTGTTTGATTTTATTTGTCTTTTATAGTCAGGGAGAAATCACTGAATTTCCCTCTATTGCAGCAGGCTGTATGTAAAATGGGAAGATATTTGTCTTTATTCTACCTAGATAGTAACTACATTCTAAATAAATATTTCTTATGAAATGGTTAGCACAGTGAAGCTGTTATGATGGTTAGCACAGTGAAGCTCTTGGCTTGATACTGTAGTTGTACAAGTATTTGATTAGTGTAGACATACTGACAGTCTGACAAGTTGCCTCACTATAGCCTTGACATCAAAATGTTTGTTGTCTTTGTCTTTAAAGAGCCTCCCTATTTCCATAATAATAAACTTACGTCTCTGGGATGGGTGGTTTTGCTAAATTAGGATTTCTGTTTTTCTCATAGAAACTAAAAAGTTGTTCAATTGTTAGCTGTGTTGCATACACTGGATGTTGATGCTGAATGTTACTGATAATTTCCTCACTCTATTTATTAGGACTTGGGCCTGGATTACTATATAATAGGAGAATCATTTGAGACATCTGTTCCTTGGGATAGGTAAACTGTGATTACTCTTTAGAATTTCTTAAAACCTGATTTCATTCAAATTATTCCTAACTCATGGTTGCTCATGGAGATACTTAGTTTAGGCCTTGTGTCTATTTAATGCTCCCTGATGTGCCTGAAGTCTTGCACCTATGCATCCTTGCTAAAGTTGCTAGTAAATTACCTATCAGGATTTTGTAAATGCAATGTGTCAAGCATTCAGTAATATTTCTACATAAGTTAGTTTATTGTAACAAATTTAGAACTTGAAATTGCACATTGAATTTGCCAATTGAAATTGCACATTGGTGACAATAACTGCAGTGGGTGATGAGCAGCCATGTGTGTGGAATCAGCTGCATATTTCAAACAGAGAAGTCTGTAGTGAAGATAAAAAAAACTTTTAAGTGTATTTAAATAAGCTTTTTCTTTCTCCAGTAACGTAGGGAAACAAAAACTGAAAAGGTAACTTTTGCCCAAGATTAAGATCTTTTTCCTAAGCTTATTTTATCTGTTAGCTGTGGTTGAGAAACATTTGACTGCAACAGAGTTTAATATACAAAATCAGTTTGGATGCTTCTGTCCATTTGGTAAGCTGGAAGTCTCTTAAGCAGGATCTAAGGTGATTTGAATCAAAGCTTTACAGCATTCAGTGCAAAGTCTGATGACTTAAACTGGCAAGCCTGTATCCTTGCTGTTGAATTTAGTGGCAGTGATAAATTCCAACCCCTGTTTGAAAATTGGCAAAGTTATATTAAGTGAGTGGAAGAAGTTTTAGGGCAATTTTAAAGCAAAAGTGGTTTTCATTTTAGTTTGGCTTTATAGATTTTGAAGCATGCTAACTGCTTAGTCACCAATTTGTTTTGCATCTCCCTTGTTTCAGAAGAGAACTTATTTTTATCTGAAACATAAGAAAATATTTAAAATTATCCTCACCAAAGGAAATGCTTTGAAAACCTTTCTCTACTTTGACTCATAAGACCCATGTAACTTTCCATATACTGATTAACTTGTTCCTTACAGGTAGCAGATATTTGAATAACATATTTAGCTGACTTGCTTATTCATTAAGTGATTTAAGTTTCTCTTGTATTCTGTTAATCTTTAAAGTAGTTTTAAATCTGTGTAAAAATGTCTTAATCTGAATTGTACAGTATACCACTACAGACCTTTGTGGGAGAGGAGAGCATATTACTGAAGAAATGGTGATTTGAAAAACAGGGATTTCTTTTAGTTGCATCTTTGGTTGCACCTGGGACTGTCCTAGAAGATTTCAAAAAAAACCCAAAAAACAGAACAAGTATGGCTTATGACAAGGTTTAATAGCTCATTGCCATATTAGAATTATAACATTTCAAGCTGGCAGACTAGTGTACAGCTGAAGAATCTCCAGGTTTGGCCTTGCAGCATTAAAAGGCCTCCGAGTTCTCAAGTTTTCTACTGTATTTGTCAACTACTTTGCCAAAAATTTGAGGCTATTTTGCTAAGAAACTTAGTAAAAACATACAGAAGTAGGTAACCTCCTTTTTTTGGAACACTTTTACCACCTCTTCGTTATGAAAAAGAGCTTTTAGGTACTCTGTTTCAAAGTAAACTTGCTCTTCAGAAGTGCAGAAAAAGCAGTACCAGTGGTCTTCATGAGGACTATTAGAACAGAGCTAGTTCATTCTGACTTTAGAAGATAGTCTTATGTTGTATTAGGTTATGATTTTTAAAAGATTTCTGAGGTTCTTTTTTCTAGAAGTTGTATAAAATCACATATCAAAATTTTATGTTTTAATGTGTTTTCTGTTACAGGGTTTCGGACCTTTGTAGAAATGTAAAGGAAAGGATAGTAAGAGAATGCAAAGAAAAGGGTGTTCAGTTTGCTCCTCTTTCCACCTGTAGGTAAGCCAACAATCTCAACAATTTTTCTTGAATCTTTGATTAGTAAGAGAACTAAGGAAGAGGTCATTAAACTTGCTAGCTAGCAGGTAAAGTAGATCTAGTAATGATATCACAAATGTTAGTAATTTTGACCTTCCTCTTGAAACTGCAAGTGGATTACATGTAGAATGGGGAATTCAAGTGATTAGTAGTACTTGATTAAACTTTTGCTTATATGTACAAGAGTCAAGTTTAATGATTTAAGAGCGTCAACTCATGAATTATGACCAAAAAGGGTAAAAATGTTAAAAAAAAAAAAAAAGATGCTACCTTTTTGAATAAGATAAGTGACGTGATAAATTGTGTAATGTCACATAGTGATTGGCTTAATATCATAAAGTTTTGTTTGTAATACAGTTCTCTTCAACAGGGTGACACAGACTTATGATGCAGGTGCATGTGTCTACTTCTACTTTGCCTTTAACTACAGAGGAATTAGTGATCCTATTCATGTCTATGAACAAATTGAGGTAATGTATAAAAGAACAGTAGTTACAGGAGAGAAGCTGATGTCCTGTAATATATGCTGAACCAATTGGCCAAGCTAACGGAATTTTGCAGGAAAGAGCTTAAAAGTCTGTTCATAAAGCTTTGATCATTAGCAGCTAGGAAAAGAGGTATATGCTAATAGTACATCAAGGAGAGAAAAGACTACCAAGTGACTATTTTAGGCATCAGTAGATGAATACTTCTGACTGAAGTATAGGAAAGCTTGACCTGGAGTTTCTTGCATGACAGAAACTTTAAACCTTAAAACCCAAATCCATGGGAACCTAGTCTTCCTTATTTCCATTATTTACAAAGCTACTTCTTTTTCTTAATACTCAGTCTGTAAAATGCGTGGTAAAACTTACCACGATCATACTTTATTAATAGTGCTGCATGTAGAGCATAATGAAATGGGAGTGTCTCATGCTATTTTGTTAGGCCCAGATAAGTGCTGGTCTAAGTCTGGTGCGTTAGACCAGTTGTAAGCTGCTTCAACATTTCCAAAGAGCTCTGGAATAACTCTGCTTGACACTTTGGCTGATGAAATGTTATACTTACCTAGTTAGGGGAAACTAGTATCCTTGTTAGCTTGAAGATGTAAATTCTTAGAAGGACTATGGCCAAACTGCTTTTTGTCCTATTTTCTGTTTCATATGCTCAAACTTCAGCACCAGAAAATTGCTAATAGGACTGTGGAGAAATAGTCAATATTTATAACTAGGATATCATTCTTCTCATGCTTATTCTTTAGAAATTTCTCTTGAATTTGGCAAGCAAAGTTTTATCTACAAGTTCTGAGGCTCCCATGCTGTTGCGTGTAGGTCACTGAAGAATGTAATACTTGAGTGCTTATTTAATGAAACTTTACTAATACCTAGATACTACTTTTTATTGGAATTATTTAGCAGTGTGATTACCTGGATGCATGTCTTCCATTATAGTAACTAAATTTAACCTAATAAAGTGAGTTTGTTGATCAAGTATATGTGTTCTGTGGCAGACTGAAAAAATCTCTAACTGCATAGGTGCAGTTATATATGTTATTCCTAAAAAAGTACACTTATTTGAAAAAAACGTAGTGCTTGTGCTTAGGAAGGCTTTCATTGTTACAGCTTCTGATCTCTGCAACCATTCATAATCAGAGGTGGATGGCAAAGAAGATTCTAGAACTTTAAAGTGTTTGTATAATTCTTACAATAAAAAACTAAATTTTGTTTTCTGCCATAAACTACACCCATGAAAGGGTTGTCAATTGTAAAATACCTTACTGCCTCAACTGGAATCTTGGAGATCTGAGTTTAAACTCTAATCTGAATAAGGATCTTGAATCACTCTGGTGAGCCTGTTTTCAGGCTTCTTTGCTGAAACTTAATTGTCTTTCAAATGAGCATCCCAGCCACTGGACTACTTTAGTTTTAGCAATGGGAAAGCAATCCAGAATATTCTATTTGGGAGTAATATGTTTGTTGTAAGCGATGCAACTTGAGATATTGTGGCTTTGATAACGTGTATTTAGAAAATTCTTACTTACATTTATTTGCAGACTTGATCTTTGCCTGTATTGTGTGCCCTAATTACTTCTGAAACTTTCCATACACCTGTGCGTATGACTGCAATAGCAAACATTTCATGAAATCAAAACATCTTGTGCAAATTTGTTGAATAAATACCATATCTTTCAAATTTTAGAGGGCTGCTAGAGAAGAAATACTTGCCAATGGAGGAAGTCTTTCACATCACCATGGAGGTAATATTCTCAGTATAATATTAGTTTCCTTGATATTGCTAAATATTCGTGAGTACATAAAATAGTTTATAGTAGAACTTTGAAAAATATATCACAGGCATTTAGTGAAATTACTGGGGGAGGATCAAGGGAGAAGGACATCTCTTGGGATTCTTTCTAGAAACTTCTTACTCCTTTGCTAGTTTGATCAGTTTGTCTTAAGCAACTTATGTTTATCTTTGTGCAGATATATATTCAGTTATAAAGACTTCAAATGGAAGTTCCGCAATTTTAAGACAGTTTAGAGTCCCTTGTGGCTCAGTGAATGCTGTTAGCCCAAATTCCAGAGCACTTAGGCAAAGTATTTGCATAAAAGAGATAGTGACTTTAAACTGGGCTATGTTGCAATCTAACATTGTTGCATAATTGATGTTATGGAAGTGTTGATATTACTGGCTTGTTGTCTGATAAGTTCTAGTTATTCAGTTTCTTCTCGTGGAGTTTGGGGATTACTTGTCCTGTGTTGCTAGAGTCTTCACAAGGTATTTTGTGCTTCAATATTAAGTTTAAGAATCAAAGTCATGTATAAGTGATACTTCATGTACTTGATGCTTTACATATGCTTTTCCCACAAACTTTGATAGCCTAATTTGACTACGTGTCCTTTGTAATGCTGTAACCTTGGATGTCAGGAAGACTTGTTGTGAGGTCAGTTTGATTTGTGCCACTGCCTTCTTGAAACTGGTTAACTTGCTGTGTTTCTTCTCTCTGTTCTCTTGGGGCATTGCCTGGCCACAGATATAAGGGCAAAGAGGAAGTGTATGGTTTAAAACTAGACAAAACCTTTGTAATTCTCAAAGCTCTCTTTGGGGAAAAATATGAAGGGCAGAAGCTGTGCTTTAAAACGTTGGTGACTTCCTAGACTTGAAACTTTTAGGTGTGGCTGTTTTCAGGCATCTTGCTTTGTGATGGAAACACACAAAGGAGTCTGCTTTAGCAGTACCAGGATGTGTAGGTGATAACGAGTGGAAACAGTTTCAGTATTTTTTGTTTGATATGCTCTTATTGTCCTCTGATTAAATCTTTAATATGGTGGTGTAGTGGACCTGTCAGTTCTCGCACGTGTGATGTGGAATTACCCACTTGATGTGCTATTGTGCTCTCCCTGCTGTGGCAGCTGTATTTTACTGTGACTAGCGTTTCATCCACTAACTCACATGCAGCTGGAGCTTGTCACACATTTGGATGTATTTGCACTCACTATATAAAACCTTGCTTACAGCATGTGTTGAACAAGAAAAAAAAATACTATGTAGCATTTCCAAATTCTCGCACGCTTGAACTTTATAACTTCACAGCTATGGAAAACTGGATTTCTGTTTGACTTCTTATGCTCCTGTTGTATGCATGACTGCCTCTGATACTGATAAGTATTTTCTGCCTTGAGTGTTTTTGTCTGGCAGTTCATTGTGTACAATATCTAAGATTAATTTTTTCCAATGCTTAGTAGATGTGCTGCTGAGAATTAGCCTCATAGTATTAGTTTTATTTACTGACCTTGTCACTCTTAGCACTAAGACTGGTCTATTGTGTGGGGTATAAGAAAATACTGGTGCAATTCCTTTTGGTATTTATCTTGTAATTGTGATTAATAACAGTTGTTTTCACTATCTGGAAACAGACAGGCTGGTTTGTCTGGCTACAATCATACTGTGATAAATGGAGCTATTTTAGCTCTGGGTTTGTGTATCAAAGAAAGCAGATGTAGTCTGGGACTCGAGGCTATGGGAAATACAAAGCCTGCTAAAGTCAATCTTCATATACTCCTTTAGTGAAGAAGTGGCCATATATGACAGTCTGGGTTGTGTAAAGCTCTACATTACTTTACATTTGGGGAAGGGCGAACTACAGGTAGACGTGTGGCTACAATTCACAGTTGAGTACTGATCATGATGCTCTTAACTTTACAAAGAGTAGCTTCAGAAGGACTTAACTTTGGAAATATCTTCCTTCCTCCCCATTTTGGTTTTCACCTTGTCTGGCCTATGTCCTACACTTAGAAAGGGATAGTGGACATTGTCAAGCACAGCTTTGATCCTTCTGCCTTTCTGGACACTGCACATCTTCAGATTTGAGAGTCACGTAAGTAAGGGTTGCTAGAGAGCCACAGTTAGTGTTTAGAAAGTTAGCATTTAAAAAGCACCACTTCGAATGATAATTTCTTGTAGATACAAGTTTAGGTGTAGATAAATAATTACTCTAATCATTTATGGCAAGCCCTAAAAACACCCATATGATGTCACACCTTTCATTCTTGAATTCCTGTTTCATTAAACATGCCTAGTTTTGTATGTATGAAATAACATATGCTGAGTAGGTATGACTGGTATATAAACACAACTATAACCCCTTTGGGGTACAGCACCAGAAGGGAGATGGTTGCATTTGGACCCAATCCCTTTTGTATTACCAAGCTAAGGACCCCTATAAAACTAAAGAACAGGGTAAAAATTAATGATACATTGATTCCCTTTCAGGGACTGTGTAAATTAAAAGTGGTTACTTAAGGAAACAATTATCAGACTGGGGGGTGGAGGAAAATAGCCCCATTTAGCCACTTAACATAATGGAACTAATTTTCTCCTCCTTTCCAGACAGATTGACTAGAGTAAAGGTTAACCATGTAGTCCACCCTGCATAGGTTTAGCTATAGAATCAATGGCAGTTTATAGAGGGGGAAAAAAAAAAAAGGAAAAAAACCCCACAACACTAAAAAAAAACCCAACGAAATCCAAACAGACCCCAAAAACCCTGAAAAGAAAACAAAGGAAAAACCAAACAACCCTACACCTTATTTGCATTCAGGTGCATGTTTGACACTGCAGTTCTTTGGCATCAATAAGAAGCTGTGGCTTAAGTTATACACTGCAGTAACTAACCCACACAAACTATACAAAATCTGAAATTATAAAATTCCTTTTTGGGGGGAGTTGAACACATTCTTTTCTAAACAGGAAAAGTATTTCTACCCTTAGGTTAAGCACTGCAGACTGATCATGCTAGAGCTTGCTCTACTAATTAGAATGAGTTGAAACTGTTACATTTGTTAGACATGGAGTAACTTTATGTGAAATAATATAATAACACAGTTGTATTTTCCTCCTTGGTCTATTGAAAGTCTAAATAGTCATCTTCAGTGCCTTTTCAAAAAAATGAAAAAGCAAAGAACTTCCTGACTCATCAACACAGAACTTGAAAGTATTTAAACTAAGATACCAAGCAAAAATGTGCAAGATGATGTGGTGATGATGTTACTGATGTAGTAGACTTGACGTACGTACACTGGTCCAATATACTCCAGTGCTACCATGCATTACATTACTGCACTGACCTTTCTCAATACTGCAGAGTTCTCCCTGGAAGAGTAACAACGTGTTAATTTCTAAAAGCAGAGAGCTGTTTCCTGTAGAGACTACTAGCTTCAGGAAGAGCATGCAACAGCTGGAGAGCCCCATCCTTCTTAGGACCTGTCACTGCTGCTCCTTTTGCAAAGCTATTGTTATGCAGTAACTGCCTCTTCAAGTTGAAAGGGCTGGAGCAGAGGAAGTCTAGAGCCAAGTGCAGTGCCACTAGAGCCTATTTCCACGGGGACCACACAATGCTATAAATTTATACTCTGCATGGGTGTAGACTTATTCCTGGACTCAGTCAGCTACATGAAAACTTTCCTTACAAGACTGTTCATGTGTGCCCTAGTACTTCATATTCCAAAAATGAGAAAAACAATTGCCTGCTCTTTGCTACCTCCATTTTAGCAGCCAGACTTTTGTAGCCATCCAGATGCATTTTCAAAAATGATCAAGTGAAAAGAGCAATGGAAGCTTGAACAACTTTGCCAGTGAAACCAGCTAAGGGCTGGACCAGCATGTATCAGAGCTGGGAAAAAGTTACTTAGCCAATTCACGTGTTTCTCTTTCATATGTGGACTAGAATGATAGGTAAAACTTAAAAATAAAACTGGTGTTGGACTCTCTAGAGTTGCTACTGAACAAGCTTCTTGGCTTTCTGATCTTAAGTACCTTGTGTGAAGTAGGCTCCCTGCCGTGCCAGGGTGTTTGTACTGTATGTAATAGACTGCAGTTCAGATTGGAGATTTCTGGCTTCCTGGCAGTGAATTTTTTAAGGCACTATTCAACTGCTCAGCACACCTCAGGAACAGGCCACCTGCCACTTGTAAAACTTGAAAACTAATTCTGTTGTACTTCATATTGGATAATTAAAATCACAGAATCACAGAATGGGTCAGGTTGGAAGGGACCACAGTGGTCCACTCTCACTGCTCAAGCAGGGTCATCCTAGAGCACATTGCACAGGATTGCATCACAGGACTTCTTGAATATTTTCAGTGAGGGAGATTGTGCAACCTCTCTGGTCAGTCTGTTCCAGTGCATGGTCACCCACACAGTAAAGAAGTTCTTCTTCATGTTCAGGTGGAGCTTCCTGTGCATCAGTATCTGCCCATTGCCTCTTGCCCTATTGCTTGGCACCACTGAGAAAAGCCTGGCTCCATCCTCTTGACACCCTCCCTTCAGGTGCAAGATTAAGTCTCTCCAGAGGAGAAGATCCAAGAAGGGAGGGCTGTATTTGTTTCCAGTTGGGGCAACAAGGATTGTGTGCATAATGGTGTGTGAAGCTGAGTTGGCAAGTAGTAACTTTCTAAGCTACTAGAAATTGATTGTACAATGTTATGCTGATTTGAGAACCTTATTAATAATTTTATGATGTAGCTTATAGAATCAAGTGATTTGGATCTCATGTTTTAATTGAGAAAAGCATATTTTGCTGAAAGCCTATAAGTGCTAGATGCTTGTATCAATTCTTGTTCTGTGCACTGTCTCATGTCAGTTCTAGATAAATGGCATCATATAGGGCTAAAACTAAAAGTCTACTTTCTCTAGGCTAGAAGTGGGAAGTTGGCTTTCTCTAGTCTGTGATAAAATAAGGTTTAACTGAGACCTTATTGTTAGGGAAGTTAAGGCTTCCTTGGCTCAAAGCTTTTCTTTGGCCAGCCTTGGAGTGGAGGTAAGCAACTTGGTCACTTGGAATTACTTTTATGTTCACAGTAACATCTTTTACTAGTATGGCATTTTCTTCCTCCTTTTCCCTTCTCATCCTTGAAGCTAATTGGATTGTCCTGTGGAGGAGGAGGAACAGAATATTTATAGTGCAGAACTAACCTGAAGTGAAACAATATATAAATGCCTTTTTTAAGTGCTGCTCTCATCTGCGTAGAGCCTTTCCTTCACTTGGTCTACTTTCCGTTTTGTCTGATGGGCCAGCTTAGAGTTCTGAGAGGTTGCTTCAATACTTTTTAACTCTAATATGAAAACTTGAGTAGTTGAAAAATGCATGTATATCTTATTGACATGAACAGTAGGAGCAGAGGATCAGCTTTGCTGTTATAAAGGGTTAAAATCTTTGCGTTGAGCATGTTTGTGAAGGACTGCTGGTAACTGTAGTACAGCTTTTTTTCTTTCCAGTTCACTAATCAGATGTATGTTAGATTTATTATCTCAAAAGTATAAACCATAGAAAATTTGACAAGATAGATGTGTAAATTATCACTTTGACAGAACTAATGATGCACTCCAAGCACCTTCTGTTTTCCAGCACTTGGTGAGTGACTTCATTAAATATGCAACGACTGTTTGGTGCTGCTCAGACAGTAGTTCAGTTCCTTGTGGAATTACATTATTACTGGAGGTGTAAAAGAGGCAGGCATGCTAGCTGTTGGGCATCCTGCTGTGATTCTAATGTGCTCCATCTTGTTGGAGCAGTTGTTTGCAGTCTTTTCAGGACAATTACATCCATAACCACAGAATACATTCACTGAAACTATATTACAGATAACAGTTGAGAATAGTAATGACTGTTCTTCAGCTGCTTGTGTAAGAAGCCAGTGTGAGTGACTTAAGGTGATGGTCAAGCCACATCCATGATGTGGGTTTTTTTGTAAAGTATTAAAATTTTCTGAGGTAAAATTCAACCACATCAGCTTGCTCAGGCAGTCACATTGTAGCGATAGTATATTTACAGATGGGGATTTTTTCCTGAGCTGGGTCCACAAAATACAGCACAGATCCTAGCACATAACAAATATAGCACATAACAAATTCTTTTGTCCTTCAGTTGTGGTCTTTGCTCTTGACACACATGCAGCTAATAGTTGTTTTCTAGCAAAGTGCACATTTCATTCTGTCTCACATTATTTGCTTTTTCTGTTGGCATTGTGACTGGCTCATATTCCTTAAGGTATAAACAAATATACTCTGTTCTCCAGAGGTGTCCCTGTAATTCATTATTCTGATGACAGTTTGATGGTTACCCTGAAAACAGGGCACAAAAGATGGCTTGAATTTAGCTTCAGATACTCTTAAAGCCTCTGTCTCTCAAACCTTTACTATATTGTATCGTATTGACAAATGAATTGTGTTTCAGGCTGACAAGTTAAATGCTAGACTGTGTTTAATGAAAAAATGTCCTTAGTTTTGAATGATCTGCTAATCAGAGTTGACTATTTTGTTAATTAGCATGTGAACACTCGGCTATTTAACAGGACTATTGTGAGAATTCAGTGGAGTTCTTAAAAGACTGTTTCAGCTTTGCTTTTTATTTGTTATAAGTAGTGAATATTTTTACATGAAAAACTAAGCTCTTGTGCAATGGTATTGAGCAATTACCAGCCAGCACAGAAGTTTTTGAATTAAATATTAAGCCTTTGTAGGAAACGATTTTTTGCTATTTAAACCTATACTGGTTTAAGCTTGATTATTGAGTTTTGTTTTCAGTTTAAAGAGATCAAGAAATGCGGGGTTCTGCTTTTTAGTAATCTCCTCTACAGTTTCCTAGTTAAAATTAGTTCATGGCTTTTTAAAACTTATACTGATTCCCTGTCTTAATAGAACATGTGATTGCAGCCTAAGCTTCATCTAAATTTCATAGTTTCTAAAGAAAGTAGACTGTGGAACACAGTCTTCCTCTGGGAGTATGCTGAGCTTAATGAGCTTGATAGTCTGGTGGGCTCAATAAATCAAATAAAGCAAAACATTTCTCATTTTTGAATAAAAGCATTTATCACACAGTGTTTATTCATTCATGTTTGCAAGATTGATTGGCTCCTTGAATCCTGCCATATATTGAAACACTTTGTTTTTGTTTTTCCAGTAGGCAAATTGCGGAAGCGCTGGATGAAGGAGAGCATCTCTGATGTTGGCTTGGGAATGCTGAGATCTGTTAAAGAATATGTGGACCCCAATAATATCTTTGGAAACAAAAATCTTTTATAAAGCCCTGCACAAATGATGTACTAAAAATTAAAAATTACTGTTGAAATTCCTCCACTTTCATTGTATTGATATCCCAGTAATCAAATATAACATAGATTAAACTTTAAAAACTAGTAACTTACATTGATTTTTTGCTACTCCCTTCCCCCTCCCCCAATAAAGTGTAAACATCACTGTTAATGTTTATGGACTTTTACTTACAATGCTCTTAAACAACCCACTGGGCACGAAGTACCAACCAGGAAATGCAAATTTATTTTCCAAGTTTGGTGTAACACAGCTGACAGTATTTTCAATGCTGGATACTGCCAGATGTTTCTTACTTAAAGAATCCCCTGCAAGGAGGACAAAGACTGACAACTGTTTTTTCTACAGAAGCAGCTGCTCAACCCAGCCTCTTGCTAAAGGAAAGCTGCTAAGAGACAGATGAGAGAACACCAAGGAGTACCTCACTGTACTGAAGGATTAAGTATGTAACAGACTTGTAACCAGCAAATACTTAGAGTACAAATGTAGGCTTTGATCAAAGAGACAGTGTAAGTCAAATTACTAAAAACTCAGTAGTCTCTCACTGTAGTACTACTTGAAAATTATACACAATTGAACTGTTCTGAGTTGTATTTGCATTGCTGGGATAATCTTAAATTAATTGTAGGTCAGTCACTAAGTTTTGTACAATGGACATTTCTCACTGTATGTTGAAAACAGGTTTGTAACAAAATTTTGCGTTCATCTGTACTTCAGTCCTAGTGTGTATGGTTTTTGATCCTGTTTTGTTTGTTTTGCACAGATGCAAAATATCTTTATCAGCTAAAAAAAAGTTTTGGCTATTCAAATGAAACTGCCCAGCACTGTCTTTTGAAACAGTCTCAACAGTTTAATAAAACACTTAAGTGAACAACCTAATGTTATCCTGGAAGTGAGATTTCCCATTTAAGTTTTGTACAGTTTCCTATGGCCTTTATGAATCATTTATTTACTTCACAAGTAGCAACAATTTTAATTGTCCATTGAACTTTATGAAAATTAAATATTTTCTTGATCAGTATCATGTGAGAGTAAGCATTTTTACATTGAAACTTGAATATTAATCAGTAAAATAAACTAAAAGAATTTGTCAGTACTCATGATCCATTTTTAAGGTGGGTTCTTTCTTAAAGCAAATTATCCAACTTTTTGATAATTAATGTAAATGCATAGGATAGAAGAAATACAGACTATCCTTTGAGGACACTGTCTCTCTAGCCAAGTGCTTCACAGCTCTGTAGTGTCAGTTTGGACACCTTTTGTATTGGTAGTGCCCTTAATGAGGAGAAAAAGATAAATTGCATTTTTGTTTTTAAACTATTTTAGAATACTGTCTAATTAGCTCTCAGTTTTGGTAATATACCAAAAAGAGTTTAAAGTGCTTGAAAAAATACTGCATACCAGACAACTCTGAACTTGTTTAAAGACTAATTTCAATGCTATAATTAAAATTACTGAAAAACATGAACACTCAAATCATCACTTTAAAAACGCATGCTGTCAAGGTATTTAAACTTTTTTATGATCTGCAGGTCATAAGGCAGAATGTTCATGTGATACTTGCAATGCAGCTACATTTATTTGGAATGTTCTTTGTCTCACAACATTTCAGCATAAAAATATATTATTTTTTCTCTCCCCCAGAGTTCATATTTCAGCAGTAACCAAAACAATAGGTGTAGTCTCTTTCAGGAAACTGAGCCTTCACACTGTGGTTAAGTGTTCCTTAAGTAAACAAAGGTGTCTCAGCAAAGTGAATCTGCACATTTTTGTGCAGGGCGCTCCCTCATCTCACCTGCTGCACGGTGGTGACCACAGGGCCACAGCTGGTGTCTTGCTGATGACTTGTATCTCTCTGAAGTGGAGACCTTTCTAGGAGTTGGTAAATATGAAGGGTGTTTATGTGCCTCAGTGAAAGTTTAGGTCTAACTATGAAGAATTAATTTTGAAGGAAAGTATGTGAAGCTTTTTTGCAGAATGACAGCACAAAGAGAATTAGAACAAGTACTCATAGCGTAGTTAATACTGGTCTCTTAAGATTTTGACTAAAGTACAACACAGCTCTTCAATATCCTTCCCATTTTTTAATTTTCTCACTATGGTTTGCTCATCCCTTTTTTGTATTGAATGTACACAGGTAAAAACTCCTTATACTCTCTAACCTTTAAATAGACATGACTTCTGAAGTGATTTAAAATGCAGTAAAGATTTTTACTGTATGTCAATTGTCATATGGGAAAGTGAAATAACAGGCTATAAGGGTCCCAAAGCACTGTCACTGGATAGCTCTGAGAAAAAGATTAACTACAAATGTAATGGATATTTTTTTCTACTGGCTGCCCTATTACTGTCTTCCTGAGTATTTCTCTGTCTTATGAACCAGTCAGAGCTTAGTGAAACTACAGTTGAAACTTATGTATTACTGTCTTTAACTTCACTTTTAAATTCCTAGTGAGAGTAGAAAAAAATGTAATGCAATTTCAGAAGGCCTAGATATACACAGATCATTCACCATTTAAATGAAATCCTACTTTCTCTGATACTACAGTCTTCCACCACTCTTCCTTCTGTAGCTCTACGTTCTTTCCACAGACTTCACTTCCCATAGCTGCAGCCTGTTCAGAGATGGAGTTTGATCCATGCAGATCAGAGGTGTCGATGCCTAACACATGACTTTTGCATTTGCTTGACTATTTTGGCCATATGTAAGTTACAAGCGGTTTTAATTAAGCTTGTAATTACTTCCAATTACATAGCTTCTTCTCCCTTTGAAGGAGGAAAGGTGCAGACTGACTATGGCTTGACTGTAAAATATGTTTACATTAGAAAGACCTTTATAAAAGTTTTGAGGGGAAAGAAGCAAATCTGTTAGAAGTTGATCCAGGATCTAAATCTTGCAGTCAAAGAAAAACATGTCTTGATTTGATTTACAGTATATTGGTTAAGTTAGAGATGTCATCTTTGCCTTACAGCTGTGAACAGAGGCCAGGCCAAATAGTTCTTCCGTAGCAATGTTAATTAACTGAAACAAATCTCAAAGGCAGGGATACATTAGCACTGAAATCCAGAAAACACAAATTGCTTCTCAATCTTGGAACTGTATGTTTATCAAGATTGTAATTTAATTTTCTGCAAATAAAGCCAAACAGTGTTTGTCATTTTAGTGTGAGATTAACTGTAAAACTTCAGTTGTAATGTTAAGAGATTACAGAACCTTATATTATTAATAAAAAGAAAATTGGCCTCAACAAGTATGTGGTTTTTGTGATGAAACTAAACAAATACATTCTACCAACTTGTCATATTGCTTCACTTTAATTTGGTGATGAACTCTTACCTAAGGAAAACTATTAGGAAAGCTTTGGCACTTGGAGAGAGAGAGAAGAGATTGAATTTGTAAATGTATGCTAATAGGAGCTCTGCTTTTTTGTCCCATCTGCAAAACAGGAAAGTGAGAGAATTTCACTGAAGGAAGGGCAAAACCACACCTGAACACCAAGGCTACTTGGTTCAGAAATTTCACCTCCTCAGTACTCCCTGTTTGGGCAGCACAGTGACCATATTCAACTGCTCTTGGAAAGTTCTTTTAATATAACACAGGAGCATACCTTGTCTTATTCAGCTTCCCCATATTTCAAAGACCTGTTGTATTGAGTTGTTGCAACAGGCATCTCATTTCTTGCTGTTGTGCTCATGTCTTACGTAAAACCTCCGTGTTAAGGTCCTGGAATCTGCTTGAAAGTTCTGCATGCACTAATGCACCATTGTGAGCAGAAGTATTTCTCCGTTATCTGCATTATTGCTATAAAGTCTTTATGCCTTTTAAGCCAGAATGGCTGAAATCCCACAATGCCTGAAAGAGCTGTTGAACTGTCTTGTCTTAACATCATAATTCAGTCTTGAAACATATTGCACAAAAACTGCAGAAGTCATAGTATGCAGGGGACAGAAGAGCTAATGATGAGTTCACCTTGTAGAACTATCACAATTTCTCAGTATGATCCAAATTTTTTTGTGTGCTTGCTCACAGGAGGGAGAAAACTACCTGACAGCCAAGCATTTTATTTGTGTTTCCCTTCTATTAACAGCATTAAAATGCAGTATTTTTACTTAGATCCAGCAATTCTCAATTTGAAGACCTTAGATGATGATATACTTGTCTCAGGATGACAGCCAGACCCCACAAGTGTTCTCTTTGTTTGTAATACATAAATTTTATAAAAAGTTGGATCTGAACTTGCAGCTGTGTAAATACTATAGGCTTCACTGTTTATGGTCTTATAGTCCCAGCACTGACTTTGAATTCATATTACCTTTACCATAAATCGATGTGTTTCTTTAGGCTCTCTATTGGGACCAGAATTGGCAGGTGGCTGCTTTTTTCATGTTCATCTTTAAGGTCTGCTCTGCTCAAAGGGCAGAGGCGGTATTGCTCAAAGATGTTTGCCATGCTGTCTCTGAAAAATAGTAGTGCTGTCAGTTTTTAAATAAATTTTAAAAGAAGAATATTCCTTTTTAAAAATAGGGGGGCTATGATATTTTAAATTGTACTGTTACTTGCAGTTTTTACCAATACAAGTTGCAATAATACATACCTTTACTAAAATGCTATGAAATGTTTCATATATGAATTTGGTTTTGCACTTTGGAAAAACAAAGCATTGATATTTTTATGGGAAACTTTATGAATGTTTCATTTTGATTCAGAATGAAGCTAAATTTATTTCAATTGGCTGTTCATAAATTTCAGTGTAACATTCCTATTTGAGTAGCTTTGCCTATAATGGCCAGTCTTCGCGAACGAAGATTTGGGGAAAGGTCTTTTTACCTTTCCAGCCTGCGCAATGGATTTTTTAGGTGAGACACAGCCTGCGCTGAACTGAGCCCACCCTTTAATCCTAAGGTTCATCTGCCGGGGCCAAGCAAGCTTGGACAATGGCAGTGAGGTCCTCAGGACGTAGGTTTGTTTAGAGTGACCTTCTCATAGATGGATGGCCTTACAGGGCTAATGGGCTCCATCTGCCCCGGGGACTGGCTGGATTCGAACCTGGGTCGCAGAGGTGAGGGTCCTGCATGCTAACCACTAGGCCACCAGGGGTCCCCTTATTTGAGTAGCAGTCTCCCTGTTTCTACCTTCATGGTAGTATGCAGTAGTGTCCCACCCCCTTATTGGGACATAGCAGCTTCTACATTAATGTATTTGTTGTAGTGCTATAAAGTATCATGGCAGCCTTCTAAAGGATAAAACAGCAATGGAGTTGTGTGTGTGCAGAAAGATTATGAACAAAACTTGATGATGGGACTGTAATCAAGTAAAGTTCAAGTCAATGCTTCTAGAACTTCAGATCAAAGTAGGAAATAGGTGAAAAATGTTTTTTGTTTAAAAATAATATTTTAAAACTATTTTTAAATGAGGAAGAATGTCAAATGATTGTCCCAACTCTGCTGTTCGATGTCATGTAGCTTGTCTGAGTGGCTGACTTCCCACATTACTTCTACATAGCAAAATATAAAATGGATGGTCTCAAGACAGGGCTATGATAAAGCTGCTCCCTTTCAGGAGCTGGAAGGGCTTGGCTCTATTCCCATGAGTGACACAGACACTCTGAGCATGTGGATATCCGGCACTGCCGTTGCATCAGTCAGTGCTGTCTCAGCAATAAGGTATTCAAAGAAGTTCAAAGACAAGGAATATCACTGGTGTTGTGTACTCAAGTTTGGCAAATATTGAAAATATAAAAAGGCACTTTGCTAAGCTCAGTTCTTGACTAGGCGCAATCCTGAGGATGTGGGAATAATGAGAAGGCACAAACCCAGCCGCTGACCTTTCTCCCTCCCAGCCTGTGGCAGCAGCCGGCAGTGTTTCCTGTCTCGCCTTGTTCCTGCTGCTGCAGAGCAGGAAATCCTGACTGCCCAGAGGCGAGGGTTAAAAGCCCTTCTGAAACATGAAGTGACACACATGCTCACCTAGCAAATACAGAGCAGCTGGGTAAATACATGTAGAGATGAGGCCATAAAAGCTGGTCATTAAGGAAAGTAAATCTGGCTAATGTTAGAAAGCAAGATGTGGGTGAGCTGAATGGAATACTTTGATAAGTTGGTAAGCTATAAGGCAAACTGATCTTCTTAGCACTGTTGCTTCTGGAAGTACAGGGCAAGACTATTTTTCCAGTCTTTTTTTTTTTAATTAGGATTTTAGTAATAAATGAAGGATTTGTCTTTCTCTGTTCATGCTTGTAAAGCCTAAATTTGAAGCTGTGCTCAGCTTTACAGGTTAGCGTATTCTAGTGCAGGAACATGAGGAATAGAAACTGCTGGCTTCTTTGGGATGGTATCAGAGCTCAGTTTATACATGCAGAAGTGTCTCAAATGGATTGTAATTGTCAGCCTTCTCCTTAAGAGGTGAGATCCCTTTAAAGCATAGCATTAAAAACAGTCTGCAGGGAACAAGAACAAGCAGTGAAAAGGGGTTGGGGAGAGAGAAGGCCAAAGACAAAAGATGTTGGAAGAAGATGTTGCTCTAGCTTTACAAGCATGGAGTCTGTCCATGTTGTTATCCAGGGTGTGGCTGGGGAAGCAGGGTTTACTGCTTTAGATGGAGGAGATGAGTGACAGCTGCCCAAGGGGCAGTGGAAAAAAAGCTTTCAAGAAGGCTCCTACTCCAGTGCAGAGGTTAGCATTGCAACCTAGGACATGGAGGCTGTCCATCTGCAAAGCTTCAGCAAGCAGCACAGCCCATCAGCACACTTTATAAAAACTGCTTTGCACAACTTCACTTGTCTGCTGTATGACTTACTGCTAATGAAATCATGACCAGGAAGCAAAGAGAATTGCTAACAGGGAAAACAGAACAAGGGCAGTGCAAGCCAGTGTCTTGTGTGTATGGCTAAATTACAATGAAATGAACATCTGGCAGCAACCGCCAGACAGAAGGGACCTGGTTGCTATAGAGAAATGATAACTTTCAGATGGTAACAAATCTGCTGCCTTGGTTACAATTTAGTACTTTTTTAAGGCTGATGAGAGGAAATCACCATCTCTTCATTTGTAGAGCTGTGGGCTGCTCTGCAGACACAAATAAAACATAATGTTATTTCCTGTTCTTTTCAGTAGCTCATGTAAGACTCCACTACATATCTGGGCTTGAGTAGGTGTTTACAGCTGAGTCTTTGGGCTGCCTGCACAGCCGTACTACAGTGTTTTGGGTGCTTCCGCCTGACCTCTATCACTGCGTGATTTACATTACTAAAACCAAAATTATCCTTGCTGCTGTTGCAGAAAGAATAGGCTGATTCTCATCCACTCCTTCAAAAAAAAATGAAGAAAGAAGAGCAAAAGGGTTGCTTTGGTTTTCTTTTGTTTGTTTTAAAATCATGTGCCGATATGCTACAGCTGCAGACCAGTCAGGACACAGCAAAGCTAAACCAGCTGTGAGTGGTTGGATAGGGAACCTTGTTGTGAATGATACATTAGTAATGAGTTACACAAGTGCAGAGACACTGTGGTAATGAGCAAGACCGTCAGCAGCCAGAGCACAAGTACTCACCCCTGGAGTTGAATTCAGATTCCCTGAACTGAGAGCTGAGCGGGTTTATAAACACAGGGACTAGTGTCCAGGAGTAGTTGTGCTTGCATCTGTTCCCCTATGCATGCAGAGCCGTGTGTTCCATGTTGACATTTGGCATCTGAAGTCATATCTGTGATGTTACTCTTCTGCCGTGAGTCTGGAGGATGGGATTTGCTCATTGCTTGCACATCAGCCCTTCAGAAACAAGATGTTTATGCGTGCTGACTTCTCATGAAGCTGGCTGGGGAGTCGCACGCCAAGACGGCAGAGGTTTGCTGGTCTCCTGCCAGGCTGGGCTGTGTGGGTGTTTGACACATGAAGAGCTTAGCTGTCTCACAAGGGCTGTTTTCATTCTTTGCATCTGCAAACTCCTGCCATTTTATCCCAGATATATTTTTCCCGCCCTGGCTGTGTGTATTCTGGTCCTGAGAGAGGCAGCTTTGTCCTTCACGTGATTTCCAGCCCTGCCTGAGCAAATGTCACCTGCCTCAGTCACATCACACGTGGGCACACACACCCCCCTATCCTGGCAGCCACTGAGGGATAGGTCTTAACCTCTGGAGAGAGTATAGTTAAACAAAGGAGAAAGAGGTCAGGAATTTCTGCCCTACGGCTGCCCATTTGAAAGACTTTGGCCCTTTCCTCACCTATTTCTGACACCACCTATTTCTCCCCCATCCCCAA